ATGTAGTCTTCTAGTTTCTTTATTAACTCTGCTGACCTTTCTTAATATATATTGACAGCACAAATCCTTCATCTTAAAAAAGAATTAGAAGTATGCCCAAGCACCCATCACTTAGGTCTGATTCTTGGAATTTAGTGTTTATAAAAAAGTGTAAAACACCCCTAGCATGACTTCTCAGTGTTCTATGGAGAAGAAGCAGTCAGGTGGTAAGGTGAAATTCATACTTCCTTAAAAAATACATAGCTTTACAGAGGAGGCATCAGAGCTGTGACAAGTTATTATTGACCAGGAGCACTAACATCAGGCATAAGCCTTCGAAAGGATGCTGAAATGCCAATTTTCTCATTTTATGGAAAAGCATAACAGCCCTGGTCAGCATGGATTTGGAACAGGAAGGTCATGCCTCTCTCAACTACAGTGGACCCTCGCCTAACGAACGTATCGCATAACGTTAAATCCGCCTAGTGATACATTTTAACGCAAAAATTTTGCCTCGGCTAGTGCTAAAAAACTCGCTCAACGCGATTGGCTCGAGACGCGTCCACGTGCGGCCTGAGCCCACCTCACTTGTTTCGTGGGTGCCAGTGTTTACAAGCCAGCCACCGCGGTCGCTTCCAAGCATACAATCGGAACATTTCATATTATCACAGCCTTTTTAGCGATTGCACCTGCAAAATAAGTCACCATGGGTCCCAAGAAAGCTTCTAGTGCCAACCCTACAGCAAAAGAGTGAGAATTACTATGGATATGAAGAAAGAGATCATTGCTAAATATGAAAGTGGAGTGCGTGTCTCCGAGCTGGCCAGGTTGTACACAAAACCCCAGTCAACCATCGCTACTATTGTGGCCAAGAAAACGACAATCAAGGAAGCTGTTCTTGCCAAAGGTGCAACTTTGTTTTCGAAACAGAGATCGCAAGTGATAGAAGATGTTGAGAGACTGTTATTGGTGTGGATAAACAAAAAACAGATAGCAGGAGATAGCATCTCTCAAGCGATCATATGTGAAAAGGCTAGGAAGTTGCATGACGATTTAATTAGAAAAATGCCTGCAACTAGTGATGATGTGAGTGAATTTAAGGCCAGCAAAGGTTGGTTTGAGAGATTTAAGAATCGTAGTGGCATACATAGTGTGATAAGGCATGGTGAGGCTGCCAGTTCGGATCACAAAGCAGCTGAAAAATATGTGCAGGAATTCAAGGAGTACATAAACAGTGAAGGACTGAAACCTGAACAAGTGTTTAATTGTGATGAAACAGGCCTGTTTTGGAAGAAAATGCCAAGCAGGACCTACATTACTCAGGAGGAAACGCCACTCCCAGGACATAAGCCTATGAAAGACAGGCTTACTCTGTTGATGTGTGCCAATGCTAGTGGTGATTGCAAAGTGAAGCCTTTATTGGTGTATCACTCTGAAACTCCCAGAGTGTTCAGGAAAAGCAGTGTCCTCAAGGCTAATGTGTGTGTGCTGTGGAGGGCAAACAGTAAGGCATGGGTCACTAGGGACTTTTTCTATGACTGGTTACACCATGCATTTGCCCCCACTGTGAAAAATTACCTAATTGAAAAGAAATTAGACCTTAAGTGCCTCCTGGTATTAGACAATGCTCCTGGTCATCCTTCAGACGTGGCAGAGCGACTTTCTGCGGAAATGAGCTTCATTAAGGCCAAGTTTTTGGCTCCTAATACCACTCCTCTCCTGCAGCCCATGGACCAGCAGGTCATTTCCAACTTCAAGAAACTGTACACAAAAGCTATGTTTGAAAGGTGCTTTGTAGTGACCTCAGAAACTCAATTGACTCTTAAGAGAGTTTTGGAGAGATCACTTTAGCATCCTCAATTGTGTAAAACATTATAGGTAGGCTTGGGAGGAAGTGACTAAGAGGACCTTGAACTCTGCTTGGAAGAAACTGTGGCCAGAATGTGTAGACAAAAGGGTTTGAAGGGTTTGAGGCTAACCCTGGGAATCCTATGCCAGTTGAGGAATCCATTGTGGCATTGGGGAAGTCCTTGGGGTTGGAGGTTAGTGGGGAGGATGTGGAAGAGTTGGTGGAGGAGGACAATGAAGAACTAACCACTGATGAGCTGCTAGATCATCTTCAACAGCAAGAGGCCACACCTGAGGAAACTGCTTCGGAGGAGGGAATAGAGAAATTGAGGAAGTTGCCTACTTCAAAGATTAAGGAAATGTGTGCAATGTGGCTTAAAGTGCAAACCTTTTTTGATGAAAATCACCCTCACACAGCTATTGCAAGCCGTGCTGGTGACTATTACACTGACAATGTTGTGAAACACTTTAGGAATGTCATAAAGGAACGGGAGGTACAGGCCTCTATGGACAGATATGTTGTGCGACAGAGGTCCAGTGACTCTCAAGCTGGTCTAGTGGCATTAAAAAGAAAAGGGAAAGAAACCCCCGGGAAAGGATTGCCACCCAATCCTAATGGAAGGGGGTTTCCCCCTTTCTAAACACTAACCCATCAACACTCCCCTCCTCCCACCCCATCAGTCATCACCAGATCTTCAAAAAGGTAAAGTCATTAACTGTGCATGTCTTCTTCATTTTGTGTGTATTAAAATTAAATTTCATGGGGAAAAAAATTTTTTTTGTTCATTTTGGGGGTGTCGGGAACGGATTAATTTGTTTTCCCATTATTTTTTAAAGGGGGAAAATTAATTCGCCTAACGAAAATTTTGCTAATTTTAGTCTAGGAACGGATTTAAAAGTTAGGCGAGGGTCCCTGTATTTGATCATTATGGCAAAAATCGCAGGGATATAATGGAAAACAAAACGTCATTTTAAAAAATCCCCCATGGAGTAATGCCTATAAAATGGGGTAAAAAACTGTGTGCATAGGGAACGGAAGATAAGGAAGTGGATTTTAGGTATTCTAAATGCAAACATTTGAGGTGTGGTACCCCTGCACAGTCCCGGGATCTTTAATTTTCCCCTCCCGAAAATAAAAAACACACGAAAAATAGTAACCACAGCTTTGTATCACCTATTCCCAAAAAAACTAAAATAAGCATGAAAGTATCCCCATAGAAGACCAAAAAAGTCTTTTATTGGAAAAAGGGGAAAATAAAATGTTCACTGGTGATCATTCCATATGGTAAACAGTTTAAAGGAGCTAGTAATTATCACAAGGTAATAAATACAGGGAGACCCCTCATGAAAGAAAAGGGAAAATATAAAAGGCAGGAATAATAATCCAAATAATTATAATCTGTCATTTACAGAGTACAGTAAGGCAAATGTGTTTAAGTTCAGAAAAATGACAGGGTGATTGGACATCTGGTGTATATGCCTAATTACAAAAGGTTACTTGTGATGTTATGCCTGCATTTTTATATGTATATGTGTTCTTAAAATTATCAGGATTATTCTAGTTAGCAAGGAGACAAGCTTAACATTACATAATTGTAAATACAGGGCTTTGCCCAGGTCTTGTATTAGAAATTCTTTGCTTACATTTACATCGATGTGTCTGTGAGAATTCAGATTTACAGTATATAGTGTTTTTTATTTTTTTTACAGGTTAAGAGTTATGTCTTATTGCTCTGCTCATTGAGTATCTTCCTTTATTATTTCACAGCATCATGTGTTAGTTGGTTCCCAACAAGTGGAGTGCCAAGCCTCAAACTAACAGCCTGATGATTAAGAGAATGTCAGAATTTCAGGCTCGGCACTCCATTGAATTGTTACGTTTGGTTTATCATATAATTTCAGTATGAAAAGACTTAGAGGGTACTACCTGTTGGTGGAGCTGGGGGTTCTCTCTGAAAACATCTTTAGTCATTGCTAGCACAAATCGTCTCAGATTTCTGATTGGAGAATTCTTTAGGTTGGTGTGATTGGCAAAGGGATGGACTGGCATTCTTGTGATTGTCAGGTTAAGGCTCAGCACTCCATTGAATTGTTATATTCTTTTATAAATTTTCAGTACATTAACAAATACATGTCTTAAAAGGGATAAGACTTAGATCTGCCATCTTTGCTGGTGAGTGAGTGTTCTTCATAAAAAAATGTTTATGATGTGGTTGGCAGAGAGCATAGACTGGAATTAATATACTTCACTGTGTAGGAACATCCTTATTCCCATGGAAGAAAAATTGGCTTGCTTAAGTTGTTACACATTCTTATTTTAGGATTTTTTTTTTACATGTTTGCACTCATGACTGATAAATAGACACCATAATCATATTTTTTGGATATCTTGTATTTTGTTTTACAACAAATAATTCTATACCTTAGTGTTTTAACATTCTTATAATTTTGTTTAATTTCAAAGCTTTACAAGAAATTCCTCTACTTACTGAATAAGCTTACAGAGAGAGTCAGGTAGCTCCTTTGTAATTTCCATGTTAAATATGCTTGCAGACCTTCATATAAATTTTGTAAATTGTCATCTATTTTTCCTAGCAAAATTTAACAGTGGGCAATGATAGGTGTGGTATTTTCATAATCAATGAAGACTTTAAAAGTAAGCTAATAATGGAGAATTTTTCCAAATTCCAGCAATTAACCCTAAGTTCATTAACTGGCAGTTTTATAGAAAAGTGTGAAGTAGGGGCCTGAAACGCTGTTATTTTTTATTTTTTTTTGTCCCTGATTATGGAATACATTGAATTCATGCGAATCTTATAACATCATCTATAATGATAATATGTACTGTATTTAAATAGAAATCTTGATTAAATTTGTGCTCTTCATGTTGCCATATGTTAATGATTTGATTTATATACTACAGTACTATATTTTTATTCAGAATACAAGCAAGTGTAATTCCAAGTACAGTAAATGAATTAATTCTAGATTATTTATTTAATCCAGATTTAAACTACAAATTACAATCACTGGAATAAACTCAAAATTATGAAATTAAAATTAACAGTGAAATTGCTTCTCAGTTCAGAGGTCCTTTCAGAACATAATTAACTATCCCTTAACTTGTTCAGAATCTCTCTTACAATAGAAAGAACAAGATTCTTCCTCTCCAGTGTAGCCGAGAGCAGGTTCCTGAGGGATGTTTAGGAAACCTCGTGAGGAAAAACACATGAAAGACCCCTGGCGAAGTCGTGAACACTGCGTGGACTGTGGGGTACTAGGGAACTGGCGGGGAATACTTGAAGGTGGCCTGTTGTGTGCTGTGGTTGGTCAGGTATGCTGATATGCTCTCTGACCAGAGTCAGTTAGTGCCTCCCCTTGTCATCGCTTCTCTCTATATAATATATATATTTTTTTGCCTCTTCATTTTTTCCAATAAGTTTGTTTTTCCCCTTATCTTCAGCTGCCTTGTGAGTGCTAAACACTTCATTAGGAAATTTTTTCTAAAAAAAAAAAAAAAAAAAAATTGAAATATGCAGAGAATGATATGTACTGTATCACAAATGTGGTGTCATTGTTAATAATGTGTTGAGTTAATTGTTGACATATGAACCTCTTGAATGGAAATAAATATATATCACCAGTTGAATTTTTAAGTTTCTCAGAAGGGACATTAATTTCATTCCTTTATAATGTCTAGGGATATTGTGTACCACCTAGCAGTCATGCCCTGCTAGTTTCAAATTAGGGAATTTCCTTAGAAGTCACTAGTTAGCAAAGAATATAGAATGCATTATGTTTAAGTTATCCGTAGAAGAGTTTTGAACTTCTAGCTCCCCAAAGCAAATTTTTTGAAGATTCATTATAGTATGAGAGGTGTGTTTCGGTAGAATATTCATTGAGGCATGCTACTGTATATAGGGTTTTATGGATTCATTTTCCTTATCAAATATGGAGTGAAAAATGATCTTGAATAAATAGGTGGTATGTTATAGTAATAAAAAAAAAGGTTTGTGTTTCTATTTTCCTTGTGGTTAGATTTTCAGAGAATGGTTATGGGTTGTGCATGCTCAGGGTTTGATCTTATTAAGGTCTTGCCCACTCTTATAAGTTTATTAATTTTTCTCGGAGGTAAAATTGTGAATGTTGCCAGATACAAGAATAAATTGTATGATTGGTATATAACTTTGTGGCTGCTGTACAAAATTGGCGAGAGGCTATGTACTGTATAGTATTATTAATATTATTATATTTCTTAGCATTTATTTTCAGTTTTGCTTACTATATAAAAAGCCTTTATATTGATTTTTCTACATGGAATGTTTCTTCAGGTGTATGCAGTATTTGCCACAATGTTAGAAAGTCTAACATTTAAAAAACTAATAATTGCATTTATATAGCATGTCCATAGTAGAATGCATTCAAAATCAGGCATAATGTGGCATTACTATAGTGCATAAAATATGCTCTCCTAGAAGTTTTTGAACCAGGCTTGAAATGTTTATAATATATATGCATGCCTTATTTTATATCTTGTGTGCCTGTTACAGTATTAGTATTAATGAGAGAATAAAAATGTAATAAAAGTAGACGGTATCTGTAGCTACAAAAAAATTTATATAAGTTCCTTTATTTACAGAGAAATGTGATGGGGCGTACAAGTCGTGTGGTAGTCGTTGGGGGCAAAGAAACTGGAAAGACATCTATTCTTGAAAGAGCAATATTTGCAAATTCCACTGTTGATAAGGTGAGAAAAAATCAGTGAACTGTACTGAGAAAGAATTATACTATGTATCTCTTGAGATAAGGGAATTGTATCACTCTTTCACTCCTACTGAAAATATGCACTGTATAAAAAAAGTGATGTTCATATGTTTCATCTTTAATTAAAATAATCTCAAATAATTCATGATTATTTTCATATAAATATAGTACTGTAAACCCTTGGGACCATTTTTGTAGACCTGGTTATTCGTGGTACAGTTATTACTGTACATTTACAAGTTTTAACATTTGTAATCCATACAAGAACCCTAATGGATAAAAGTCACTTTATTAAACTTTATTGGGTTGCCCTAGGTAATTTGCATATGTTACTATGTAAGACATTTGTAAAAATGTATAGCACTTGTGTAATGTATCTGAATAAATTTATATAATTCATATGGTAGTACAGTGGTCTCTCATTTTTCGTAATTAATCCGTTCCGGGAAGTGTGACTACAGTGGACCCTTGCCTAACGTTGGCATCACATAACGTTAAATCTGCCTAGCGATACATTTTAACACAAAAATTTTTCCTCGCCTAGCGCTAAAAAACTCGCTCAGTGCGATTCGTCCGAGACGCGTCCATGTACGGCCTGAGCCAGCCTCACTTGTTCCGCCGGTGGCATTGTTTACAAGCCAGGGTGGCCTGTTGCATGCATACATTCGATAAATTTTGTATTATTCCATTGTTTATAGTGCTTGTAACTACTAAATAAGCCACCATGGGCCCAAGGAAAGCTTCTAGTGCCAACCCTGTGGTAAAAAGGGTGATAAATACTATCATACCACAGCTGCTGCTGCACCACGGTCAGCTGCTGCTGCACCACAGTCAGCTGTTGCTCCACCACAGTCAGCTGTTGCTGCACCACCATCAGCTGTACTACTCAAAGATGTGGAGAGAGTGTTGTTGGTGTGGCTTAACGTGAAACAATTACCGAGAAACTATTAACCCCAGAGGGTTAGCCACCCAGGATAGTCCAAGGAAGTCAGTGCATCATCGAGGACTGTCTAACTTATTTCCATTGGGGTCCTTAATCTTGTCCCCCAGGATGCGACCCACAACAGTCAACTAACACCCAGGTGAACAGGAAAAAATGCCTAGAACTAGTGCTCATATTGGTGAATTTAAGGCCAGCAAAGGTTGGTTTGAGAGATTTAAGAACTGTAGTGGCATACATAGTGCAATAAGGCATGGCGAAGCTGAAAAATTCATCCCCCAACAAGTGTTCAATTGTGACGAAACAGGCCTGTTCTGGAAGAAAATGCCAAACAGGACCTACATTACTCAGGAGGAAACAGCACTCGCAGGACACAAGCCTATGAAAGACAGGCTAACTCTAATGTTTTGTTGTAATGCTAGTAGGGATTGCAAAGTGAAGTCTTTACTGGTGTATCACTCTGAAAAACCCAGTGTTCAAGAAAAACAGTGTCTCATCACTCATCAATACTCTTCAATAAAGGTAAGTGTCATTTTAACATTTATTTATGTAGTTATTGTGCATGTCTTATTGTTTTCTTTGTAGGGAAATGTATATTTCATGAAAAAAATTTTTTTTTTAGTACTTTTGGCTGTCCGGAACGGATTAATTGGATTTCCATTATTTCTTATGGGGAAAATTAACTCGGCTAACGATGAGTTCTCAGGAACGGATTAATATCATTAGGCGAGGGTCCACTGTATTATCGAAATTGACGATTTTCAAATCCATTTTCCCCATAAGAAATAATGTAAATACAATTAATCCGTTCCAGACACCCAGAAGTATTAAAACAAAAATTTTTTTACATGAAATATAGATGTAGTACATACACAATACAATGGGACATGATGAATGAAACATTAACAGCATAACACTTACCTTTATTGGCAATTCTTCTTAGTGTATGGAAGACTGGAGGAGGAGGAGAGAGATTGGATTAGTTACTGTTTGGAAGGGGAATCCCCTTCCATCAACACCTCAGGTACCAAGTGCTTTTCTGGGGTTATTTCTCTTCTCTGTTTCTTAATGCCACTAGGACCAGCTTTAGAGTCATTGTACACCTGTGGTACTAAATACTTGTCCAGAGAGCTCTGTTTCTGGCGTCTCTTTAAAACTTACCTAAAATGGGCCAAGACTTTGTCATGTACAAGTTGCCGATACGGCTTGCAACAGCCTTGTCTGGGTGATGTTTCTCCATAAATCTTTCCATCCTACCCCACATTTCAAAAATCTCCTTAATTTCTGAAGAAGGCAACTTCTTCCATCTCTCTTCCTCCTCCTCCTCCTCCTCTGCAGCAATATTCTGAGCTGCAATTTGTTGCTGTTCCTGCTGAAGCTCTTGCAGCTCCTCAGTGGTTAGCTCTTTGTTGTGGTCCTCCACCAACTCTTCCACATCATCCAAACTCACATCCAACCCCATGGAACTCCCCAATGCCACAATAGATTTCACAACTGTCATAGGCTCATCAGGGTCAGCCCCAAACTCTTCAAAATCCCTCTTGTGGACACAATCTGGCCACAATTTTCTCCAAGCAGAGTTCAAAGTCCTGGTAGTCACTCCCTCCCAAGCCTTACCTATAAGGCTTATGCAATGTAGGATACTGAAGTGATCTTTCCAAAACTCTCTTAGGGTCAAGTGAGTGTCTGAGGTCACATTAAAGCACCTTTGAAACATTGCTTTGGTGTAGAGTTTTTTGAAGTTTGATATGACCTGCTGGTCCATGGGCCGGAGGAGAGGAGTGGTATTAGGGGGCAAGAACTTTACTGTGATGAACCCAAACTCCTCCAGAATTAGGTCATCCAAGTTTGGAGGATGAGCAGGTACATTGTCCATTAGCAGGAGGCACTTGAGATACAATTTCTTTTCCAGGAGGTAATTCTTCACACTAGGGCCAAACACTTCATTGAACCACTCGACGAAAATTTCCCTCGTGACCCATGCCTTATTATTAGCTTTTCAAAACACACACAATTTACTCTTCATAAGATTGTTTTTCCTGAACACTGTGAGATTTTCAGAATGGTACATTAGTAACAGCTTCACTTTGAAATCCCCAATAGCATTAGCACAGAACATGAGCGTCAGCCTGTCTTTCATAGGCTTGTGTCCTGGCAGTCCCTTTTTTCTCCTGAGTAATGTAGGTCCTCTTTGGCATTTTCTTCCAAAAGAGGCCTGTTTCATCACAATTGAACACTTGTTCAGGTTTCAATCCTTCAGCGTCTGTGTACTCCTTGAATTCACTTACGAATTTTGTAGCTGCAATTTTGTCCGAACTGGCGGCCTCGCCATGCCTTATCACACAGTGTATGTCACTCCGGTTCTTAAATCTCTCAAACCAGGCTTTGCTGTCCTTAAATTCACAAATATCAGTACTTGTTACAGGCAATTTCTTTACAAGATTGTCATGCAGCTGCCTAGCCTTTTCACAAATAATCAACTGCATAATACTATCTCCTGCTAATTGTTTCTCGTTTATCCACACCAATAATAACTTCTCAGCATCTTCAAGTACTGATGATTTCATTTTTGTTAGCATATTTACTCCCTTTGCAACAATAGCTTCCTTGATTTCCTTTTTCTTGGCCACGATGGAAGCTATGGTTGTATGGGGTTTGTTATACGTTCTGGCCAGTTCGGCCACACATACGCCACTTTCATATTGTTCAATGATGTTTTTCTTGAATTCAATTGTATTTCTCACCTTCTTTACCAAAGGCTTGGCACTAGGAGCTTTCTTTGGAACCATGGTAGCTTATTTAGCAGTTGCAAGCTATAATCATAGTACATATTGTTATGTGCTCGTGTGACCAACCTTCCATGCAAGGCAAAATATTGATTGCATAAAAAAGAAAACTATTTTGTCATTTAATGCACAGCAATGTGCATATATTGAGAATAGTCATAAGTAAAAGCCTAACATATACTGTCATTCAGTGTCTTGCTGCAAGCCGTAAAATACAAAAAATACCTAGTTTGAACATCAGGCACTGAAAACAGTATTAGTACTATACTATACAATGATCTTTGTTGAACCTCACCTCGAATATGCAGTCCAGTTCCTGTTTAATTGTATAAAATATGTCAAACTTGAGTAAGTGCAAAAAAAAAAAAAAAAAAAAAAAAAAAAAAAAGAGAGCAATAAAGCTATCATTATTAAAAAATGGACTGTAATAAGAAAAGGCTAAAATTATTCAACCTGTTCTCACTGAGAAAATAAAGGCTACAAGGTAGCCTCGTGCAGTCTACAAAATAATAAAATTTGACCTACACAAATATGAAGGTCTTTTTAAAGTGCATTGATACAATTACATAAAACAGCAGTGTGATACTGGCATTTGGTTTAATATGGAATGTACTTAAGGATTTTTTGTTTTTCAAACAGTTGAGGAGCACAGGAATAGTTTTTGTCCAGAAGTAAGATAAGATTCTCTTACATTAATATGGTATACAAGTTTTTTTTTGGAGTACAGTACAGCATTTTACACAAAAGTAACTTTGCAGCTTGATTGGGTTACCCTCTTTGTACTGTAAATACATACAGTATACTATGTACTATTATAGCTTGATCCAATCCATCTTATCTTGACCCATCCTAATAAAGCAAATGTTGATTTCTCACATACACTTTTAACTCTTAAACTGTCCAAATGCAGATCTACTTTTTTTTTTTACAATTGAAAGCATGCAAAAAAAAAGTAGATCTACGTTGGGAGTGCTATGCACGTGAGTGTAGATCTATGTTTGGACAGTTTAAGGGTTAAGCAAATTTTTCAGTATACATTATTATTTTTTTTTTTATTATCACACTGGCCGATTCCCACCAAGGCAGGGTGGCCCGAAAAAGAAAAACTTTCACCATCATTCACTCCATCACTGTCTTGCCAGAAGGGTGCTTTACACTACAGTTTTTAAACTGCAACATTAACACCCCTCCTTCAGAGTGCAGGCACTGTACTTCCCATCTCCAGGACTCAAGTCTGTCCTGCCGGTTTCCCTGAACCCCTTCATAAATGTTACTTTGCTCACACTCCAACAGCACGTCAAGTATTAAAAACCATTTGTCTCCATTCACTCCTATCAAACACGCTCACACATGCCTGCTGGAAGTCCAAGCCCCTCGCACACAAAACCTCCTTTACCCCCTCCCTCCAACCTTTCCTTGGCCGACCCCTACCCCGCCTTCCTTACACTACAGACTGATACACTCTTGAAGTTATTCTGTTTCGCTCCATTCTCTCCACATGTCCGAACCACCTCAACAACCCTTCCTCAGCCCTCTGGACAACAGTTTTGGTAATCCCGCACCTCCTCCTAACTTCCAAACTACGAATTCTCTGCATTATATTCACACCACACATTGCTCTCAGACATGACATCTCCACTGCCTCCAGCCTTCTCCTCGCTGCAACATTCATCACCCATGCTTCACACCCATATAAGAGCGTTGGTAAAACTATACTCTCATACATTCCCCTCTTTGCCTCCAAGGACAAAGTTCTTTGTCTCCACAGACTCCTAAGTGCACCACTCACCCTTTTCCCCTCATCAATTCTATGATTCACCTCATCTTTCATAGACCCATCCGCTGACACGTCCACTCCCAAATATCTGAATACATTCACCTCCTCCATACTCTCTCCCTCCAATCTGATATCCAATTTTTCATCACCTAATCTTTTTGTTATCCTCATAACCTTACTCTTTCCTGTATTCACTTTCAATTTTCTTCTTTTGCACACCCTACCAAATTCATCCACCAATCTCTGCAACTTCTCTTCAGAATCTCCCAAGAGCACAGTGTCATCAGCAAAGAGCAACTGTGACAACTCCCACTTTATGTGTGATTCTTTATCTTTTAACTCCACACCTCTTGCCAAGACCCTCGCATTTACTTCTCTTACAACCCCATCTATAAATATATTAAACAACCACGGTGACATCACACATCCTTGTCTAAGGCCTACTTTTACTGGGAAATAATTTCTCTCTTTCCTACATACTCTAACTTGAGCCTCACTATCCTCGTAAAAACTCTTCACTGCTTTCAGTAACCTACCTCCTACACCATACACCTGCAACATCTGCCACATTGCCCCCCTATCCACCCTGTCATACGCCTTTTCCAAATCCATAAATGCCACAAAGACCTCTTTAGCCTTATCTAAATACTGTTCACTTATATGTTTCACTGTAAACACCTGGTCCACACACCCCCTACCTTTCCTAAAGCCTCCTTGTTCATCTGCTATCCTATTTTCCGTCTTACTCTTAATTCTTTCAATAATAACTCTACCATACACTTTGCCAGGTATACTCAACAGACTTATCCCCCTATAATTTTTGCACTCTCTTTTATCCCCTTTGCCTTTATACAAAGGAACTATGCATATGCAGTATACATATGTACATGATTTAGGTTAAGTTAGGCTAGATTGTTTGCCCATAAGCAAAATTTAACCAGTTATATCAAATGCCATAGAAACTTTTGAAGCATAAGCAGAAAACAGAGACCCACAGAGTGCACATTAAAATACAGTGGTCCCTCGTTTATCGTATTTAATCCGTTCCTGGAGGTGCTACTATTATCGAAATCTACGATTTTCGAATCAATTTTCCCTATAAGAAATAATGTAAATGCAATTAATCCGTTCCTGACACCCAGAGGTATTAAAACAAAAAAATTTTTTGCATGAAATACTATAGATGTAGTACATAAACAATACAATGGGACATGATGAATGAAACATTAACAGCATAACACTTACCTTTAATGGCGATTCTTCTTCGTGTATGGGAGACTGGAGGAGGAGAGAGATTGGATTATTTACAGTTTGGAAGGGGAATCCCCTTCCATCGACACCTCAGGTACCAATTGCATTTCTGGGGTTACTTCTCTTCTCTGTTTCTTAATGCCACTAGGACCATGCCTTACCACACTATGTATGCCACTACGGTTCTTAAATCTCTCAAACCTACCTTTGCTGGCCTTAAATTCACTCACATCACCACTAGTTGCAGGCAATTTCTTTACCAGATTGTCGTGCAACTGCCTAGCCTTTTCACAAATAATCGACATCATAATACAGTGGACCCCTGGTTAACGATATTTTTTCACTCCAGAAGTATGTTCAGGTGCCAGTACTGACCGAATTTGTTCCCATAAGAAATATTGTGAAGTAGATTAGTCCATTTCAGACCCCCAAACATACACGTACAAACGCACTTACATAAATACACTTACATAATTGGTCGCATTCGGAGGTAATCGTTATGCGGGGGTCCACTGTACTATCTCCTGCTAATTGTTTCTCGTTTATCCACACCAATAATAACTTCTCAACCTCTTCGAGTACTGGTGATCTCATTTTTGTCAGCATATTTACCCCCTTTGCAACAACAGCGTCCCTGATTTCCTTTTTCTTGGCCACGATGGAACATATGGTTGTAGAGGGTTTGTTATACATCCTGGCCAGTTTGGCCGCACTTAAGCCACTTTCATATTGTTCAATGATGTTTTTCTTAAATTCAATCATGTTTCTCACCTTCTTTACCAAAGGCTTAGCACTAGGAGCTTTCTTTGGAGCCATGGTAGCTTATTTAGTACTTGCAAGCACTAAAATGAATGGAATATTATGAAATATTTCGTAGGAGCAAGTGAGGGGACCGTCGCTCACTGGTAAACATTGACACGCTGGCTGGGAAGGGAAGCCGCCCCGGGTCACAGCGTGCATACATGTCCCAGACGAACTACTATTCGCGAGTCAGTCTACGATTAGCGAGCCCATGTTTATACGAAAATATCACTATGATTTCCGAAATCTACGACTCTCGAGCCCTACGATTATCGAAGGACCACTGTACATGTACTCAGATAATTATCTTTTCATTCCCATGTCACAGCCATGTATTTAATGTTCTTAGTCAAAGTGATATACTCTACTGTACTAGTGTTGATTACGAGGATTTGCTGTTTATCTTAGGTCACCCTAAGTTTAGCAAGCTTTATTTAATATTAATGTAAATGGTTTAAAAAAATGACAAGTTTAAGAATGAGACACTAAAAAAATGTATATACAGTAAACAGGTAGGTTGAAGCAGCAGGTGGAAGAGCCACTGTTAAAAAATCCACTAGTGGTAAGCCATGCCTAACCTATAGGCATAACCTACTTACACTAATGGATTGTTCCACTGGTGGCTGCTCCTCCTGCTGTTGTCTTATTCTTATATTTAATATTTGTTTAGTTAAGACTGATTTTTGCAGTTATTGCATCAGGAAATTTACGGTTAGCTTTATTGGCAAAACAGTTCTTGCTGAATAAGCCAGGTCAGCAGGTTTGTTAAAAAATCTAATTTTATTCTCTTACAACAGCAATATATTCCAACTGTTGAGGATACTTATGTTGGAATTGTAGAAACCGAACGTGGAACTCGGGAGAAATTGCGCTTTTATGACACTGCTGGCCTAGATGCTCGCAATCACTGCCTTCCCCAGCACTACCATGCATTAGCAGATGGTTACATCATTGTGTACTCTATAAGTGACAACCTCTCATTTCAACTGCTAACAGATATTAAAAAAGACATCGACAGACACAGAGAGAAAAAAGATGTAAGTACAATTTTGAGTCTAAAACCCCTAAACTTGTGTCTTCAATGCACCCATGAAACAATAATAAATTTTCTTTTCTTTGAGTAGTACACAAAATTATTTGTTTTAGATTTTTTAACACACCAGCCGTCTCTCACCAAGGCAGGGTGACCCAGAAAAGAACTGTTTTTTTCTTCATTTTTACATTTAGCAATTTATACAGAAAAAGGAGCTACTAGCCCCTTGCTCCTGGCATTGTAATCTCCTCTTACAACACACATGGCATATGGAGGAGAAATTCTTAAAAATTTGTTACAGTATTATTATTATTAGACATTTCTGAAGGGAGTACCTTTTTTTTTTTTTTTTTTTTTTACACAGGGTTTGACAAGGTCAAGGATCCCTAGCTTTATTGACAAGCTATTTACAGGTTAAGGATTCCTAACTTTATTGGCAAGCTAAGAGCTGTTACCTACATCAGCTCATTTGAAAGCAGTTTTATTGTTATGAGACATACAAGTAGGGAACAGGATGAAGTTGGAGCCATCTGTGGGCCAGCATTTTCATTTGATCAACTGACTTTATCTCGTTGACATCATTATGCTATATGAATGTGTTCCATACTCGAGTCATCCTGGGTATATACGATCAGATGGAGTGATGTTCTGGAGAAGGGTACAGCCAGAGTGAAGTTGCTGCTTTCTGCCCATCTTGTGGCATAAAAGCTTGTTTCACGCTGTCCTTGAAGTGGATCCAAGTGTAGTACTTTGACAATATTGGCCTTGTACATAACAGTAAGGCCACCCATATCCCTCCTTTGTTGAAGGCTCTGCTGAAATGACAGATCTATCCAAGATGGGTCCAGGTGAGAGATGAGACGTCTTGCTCTGTTCTCTACTCTGTCAAGCAGTCACAGATGAGAGGGGGGGGGGGCAGGCAAACCAAGAAAGTGGAGCATACTCAAGGTGTGAGCGTACTTGTGCTTCGTACAGGATCTTGCAACCCCTACTGTCAAGCAGATGCGAGATATGGCGAAGTGCTGTAAGCTTCCTGGCTGCCTTGTTTGCAAGATTTACAACATGGTTCTTCATGGTCAGTTTGGAGTCAAATTTCAACCCAAGGATATCAACTTCTTCTCCAGGTGCCAACATCCTCCCATTCATCCCTACTACTGCACCAGCATTACCGTCATGGTGCCTAGAGACCATCATCATTTGCGTTTTCTCGGGCGCAAATGTTACTTGCCATCTATTTTCCCAAGCTGATGTAGCTCTTAGCTGGTGATTGATGTAGCTTAGAGCAGCTGGCATTTCTTCTTGGATAAGTGAATAAGTGGTCAACTGATAAGTGGTCAGCTGAATTTTCTTTCATTTCTTTCTTCCTCCAAAGTTTTTATTTTTGATGTGAGAATGCCTGATCCAATTGGAGTCATATTTTCTGCACTGATTTACTGTAACTCTAGAAAGGTTTGTGTAACTATTGGCATGTGCAGGTACCCTCTGGTCAGAAGTAAATAAACCATCCCAGGTTTTCAAAGTCCTCAAGATAACTCTAGAAAGCCTCTTCTGATCGGATTTTAACTATCAACATTGGTGTGTCCTGTTTAGAACAATGAATGTTGGAGTTGTTATTAGAATGTACGTATTGGGATTAATTAGTTAATTTTATTTTTAATGTGGTGTTCTTTCCATTAAATAACTTTAGTATACCTTTTCTGAACTGCTTTAATCTTTCATGGCCAATGCATCTTATAAATAGGAGTGCAGTGGTACTTCGGGTTACAAACTTAATTTGTTCCAGAAGGCTGTTTGAGTGCCGATACTGAACATATTTGTTCTTATAAAGAATAATGTAAATTAGATTAATCCATTTCAGATCCCCAAAAATACACTTACAAAAGCACTTACAAAAATACGCTTACATAATTGTTTGAGTTGGGAGCTGTTTGTGTGCTGAGGTACCACTGTATACCCTTTAAGTTTAGGCTGTGTGGATGTAAATTTGCCAATTTACTAACTTTCTTCTTTCTTTCGACACACCGGCCATATCCCACCGAGGAGGGGTGGCCCAAAAGGAAAAACAAAAGTGTCTCCTTTACATCTAGTAATATATAAAGGAGAAGGGGTTACTAGCCCCTTGCTCCTGGCATTTTAGTCACCTCTTACAACACACATGGCTTATGGAGGAAGAATTCTGTTCCACTTCCCCATGGAGATAAGAGGAAATAAACAAGAACAAGAACTAGAAATAAAATAGAAGAAAACCCAGAGGGGTGTGTGTATATATATGCCTGTACATGTATGTGTAGTGTGACCTAAGTGTAAGCAGAAGTAGCATGACGTACCTGAAATCTTGCATGTTTATGAGACAGAGAAAAGACGCCAGCAAGCCTACCATCATGTAAAACAAGTACAGGCTTCCGTTTTACACTCACTTGGTAGGACCCATTTACTAACATAATTAATAAACTTAGAATTGTTGGATTCCAAGCAACTGGAGAATGTCTCTTCTGATTGTTTTAAGACTCAGTGACTGATTTTGTTTAGAAGAATTTCACATTTATTTTGGACTGTGTAGGTTTTAATTTGCCAGTTTTATTAAATTGTTTTCTGTGCAATAACTGGAGACTGCTACTTCTTGGGCTGTATAGGTGGCAGTTTGCTGATGTGATTAACAACTAGACACTTTGCAGAAATTTTTTTATTGGGACACGCTCTCAATCTGATGAAACCTTTTTCATGTCATACAAAATATACAGAATGCGAGTGTGCATGTGTACACATGTACACACATGCACAATATGCTTATGGGAGTTGGTGTAAGGTGAGTGAAATCATTGGAGTGGGACTAATTTGGGGTTGGTAGAGCAGAGAGATACTGGGCTTTAGTTTCTGGCCAGCATATTTGCCCCAATCTTATTGCTAAGAATGTTAATGTAGTATGCTGTGAGCTAAATTAGAGGCATTTATGATACTGTATGAACAGATTATATTACTTGATGTTTAAAATAACAAATTGTCAAAATTTGAAGAAAAAATTCATCCCCGTGCATCCGATTTAAGACTATACAAAGCATCGTGTGTTGTCAGAAAAAATGTAGTGAATAACAAAAAGGCACAATACCGTGACTGGAACGATACACAAATAACCCGCACATAAAAGAGAGAAGCTTACAACGACGTTTCGGTCCGACTTGGACCATTGACAAAGTCACACTAACAGAGATGGAGCAGGACGGCTATATACATGTATAGGCAGGAAGAGGTGGAGGTAGTAGTAGTAGTACAAGAATTGTATATAATACCGACAAGATGAAATTAAGACACATGCACAACACCTGGGCATACCCATCGTAGACGTTTCGCCATCCAGCCAGCCACTGGATGGCGAAACGTCCACAACAAAGACAACCAGACGCCGCACATGTGTCTTAATTTCATCAGTAGTTGTAGTAGTAGTAGTAGAAGAAGAAGAGGTAGTAGTAGTGGTAGTGGTAGAAGTGGGAAATAAGGATGACGAGCCAGTCAAAAACGAAAACAAAGGAAGGGGAGCACTGCGAGATAGCTAGATGCCCACAGAGGGAGAGCAAGCGCACAGAGGTGCGTGAAAGGAGAAGTGGTGAAATAAAATATTTATTTTATTTTATTTTATTTCACCACTTCTTCTTTCATGCACCTCTGTGCGCTTGCTCTCCCTCTGTGGGCATCTAGCTCTCTTGCAGTGCTCCCCTTCCTTTGTTTTCGTTTTTGACTGGCTCGTCATCCTTATTTCCCACTTCTACCACTACTACTACCTCTTCTTCTTCTACTACTACTACAACTACTGATGAAATTAAGACACATGTGCGGCGTCTGGTTGTCTTTGTTGTGGACGTTTCGCCATCCAGTGGCTGGCTGGATGGCGAAACGTCTACGATGGGTATGCCCGGGTGTTGTGCATGTGTCTTAATTTCATCTTGTCGGTATTATATACAATTCTTGTAGTAGTAGTAGTAGTAGTAGTACTACTACTACTACTACTACTACTACTACTACTAAACTACTACTACTACATACTACTACTACTACTACTACTACTACTACTACTACTACTACTACTACTACTACTACTACTACTACTACTACTACTACTACTACTACTACTACTACTACTACTACTACTACTTACTACACTACTACTACTACTACTACTACTACTACTACTACTACTACTACTACTACTACTACTACTACTACTACTACCACCACTACCACTACCACTACCACCACCACTACCACCACTACCACCTCTTCCTGCCTATATATAGCTGTCCTGCTCCACCTCTGTTAGTGTGACTTTGTCAATGGTCCAAGTCGGACCGAAACGTCGTCGTAAGCTTCTCTCTTTTATGTGCGGGTTATTTGTGTAAGGTGTAGTGAATTTGGTATAGCTATTACTGTATGATTTTACTTCAGAAGGCTTGGAATAATACTTTCCATCAACAGTTTCTAAAATTGGTAACTAGGGTGCTACACTATCCAGTAAATACCAACTATTATTTAACCCTTTGACTGTTTTGGTTGTACATGTATATACGTACATGTCTTACTAGCCAGTGTTTTAGACGTATATATACTCAATAATTCAAGCGGCTTCAAATCAAGCAGGAGAAAGCTGGTAGGCCCACATGTGAGAGAATGGGTCTGTGTGGTCAGTGTGTACCATATAAAAAAAATCCTGCAGCACACAGTGCATAACGAGAAAAAAAAACTGTCCCTTTTTTTTGGATTATAACGCCGACTTTGAGGTGTATTTTCGTATAGTATTTATCGTTGTATTCTCGTTTTCATGGTCTCATGTGATAAAATGGAAAACATATTGCAGAAATAGAGATGATTTTGATTAGTTTCATGATGAAAACGACTTTGAAATTGAGCTCAAAGTAGCGGAAATGTTCGATTTTTACCAATGTTCAGGAGTAAGCAAATCACACCACACGTCCAATGCATATCAGCTGGGGTGTCTAACATTCTTTCACTAGTGCACTGATATTATTTATACCATCTTTACATTAATGCAGTAGTCTGCATAACAGTAAATTTTGTATTTTTTTGTATGAATAAAAAATCAAAATAGAAAGCAATAATAATATAGAGGAGCCTAGAGACGTGACTAATGAACAGAGGATATCTTATTATAGTGCCAAGAATGTCTACATTGTTTATTCTGGACCCTATTTTGAAATTGGCATCTTTTTTAATTTGCGTGAAATTGGCCAAATTGCCAATTTCTGACCACGTTATTGGGTAGTTCAAATCGGTAAATGGGCAGTTTCTTGTACTCAATTGATAGAAAAAATGGAGCTCTAAAGAAACAGCTATGGGTTTGGTCAACTGGAACAACAGAATTGGCCAAAAACAGGGCTCAGTCGGAGAAATTGCCGCTGCGTATATGTTGCCGAGACCGCTAACTTCGCAGGAGCGTAATTCCGTGAGTTTCTGACCAAATTTCCTACTTTTGGTGTCATTACCATCGGGAAAAATTCTGTAATTTCATAAAAATATTTATTTTTTTCCAAAAATTTTGCAACATAGAATGACAGTTTCAGAAAGGGGCTTGCAACAGTCAAAGGGTTATTGAGTACCTTATATAAAAAACCACTGAAATTTTCTGCGTGATTTGAGAGGACATTCATGTTATGGTAAGGAAATGGCAGAAATTAAATACTGTACATACTTGGAAAAATTCTTTAGATATCATCTCATTTAGGGATTCCTATTGATGATTATAGGTACTGTAATGGTATTTTTACCTAATTTTTTTATTTAAAATTAACAACAGTTTAAAATACTTTCTAAACATTTATCACAGGTACCAATAATTGTTTTGGGCAACAAGAGTGATTTAGCAGCTACTCATCGTGCTGTTGATACAGCTACAGCTGAGCGATGGGCAACAGCAGAGAAACTGAGGTTCTGGGAGGTGAACGTTCAGGACCGTACTCTTCTAATGGCACCCATCATGAACCTTGCTTCTCGTTTAAATCCACAACCTAGCAAAACCTCTTTTCCACAGTTGACCATGGGCCGGAAAAACAAAGATTAATGAAATGTGCAGGTAATGTTTTGTGTATAAGTAAAAAAAAAAATTGACAGGAGCATATGTTCAGACATAATTGTAGACCCTTCAGATATTCAAATTCTTTTATTTCCTTGCAAGTTTACAATGTGGTTGGCATATTTTAGGAAGTATACTTACATAGATAGCTTACAGTGAGGGTTTACAATGATTTGTAGTGCAAAGATTGCCACTATGATGCCTTGGCATTACGGGCAATCTAAACTTAATACATTACTGATTGCTCTCTGATATACATTACCGATATACTTTCAGTTTTTCTCAACATTTTTTCATTCTACAGTAAACTTGCTTTCATAAATAAAATTTTATTCAAGTCTTTTAGTGTTGATGGTTATCTTCCATGTTGTTCCTATTAGTATTGTTGTAGGTCTGCAGTTATGCAGTTTGGCCTAAAATAAGTTTTATACATGTACAATATATGTGTTTGTTCATAATTTGTTTAGTTTAGTTTATTAGCCAAATTAGTACAGTGGTACCTCGAGTTACGAACTTAATTCATTCCAGAAGGCTGTTCGAGTGCTGATACCAAATGAATTTGTTCCCATAAGGAATAATGTAAATTAGATTAATCCATTTCAGACCCCTAGAAATACACTTACAAAAGCACTTACATAAATACACTTACATAATTATTTGAGTTGGGAGCTGTTTGAAATGCGAGGTACCACTGTATTACTCTCTATAAAATACTATAGGTGATTATAAAAGATTTTATCACCCTCTTTCCTTGGATTACTTTAATGAAATCTATGATAAAGAAGTTTTAAGACTTTGTACAGTATTGTATTACTTTAATGATGGCCACCACCAAGTTGAAGGTTAAAAATATTACTGTTTGCATGAAATACTTTACCAGATGCCAGGATACTGCTGGGAATTTTTTACCCCTAGGAAGGCTCCATGATGTTCGTGAGAAGCTCTTAATCTGAGGAATATTACTTGACCTTCCCTTCCTTGGATTAAACCTGATTATCTCCTATTTCACCAGGTGTTGTATGAGTCCTTATGGGTTTAGCGCTATCACTTTGAATGTAATAATGTATATTTTGCAAGTTTTTTTTTTTTTTTTTAAATTCTGCTACATAAAAGATAGAGTGTATCTTGCCTTTCATTCCTGCTTCTAATCTTGCATTTCTTTCTGAATTAATTGACCATGTTTTTTTGACCAATTGTTTCCTTTTTGTTTTTTTGTTTTTTGAGCCTATAGAACATTTCATTCAACTGAGATTCCTTTGTGTAAAGTTTATATTGACTTGGTACTGAACACTTGTTAAGGAAAAGCATCTTTGCTGATTTTGTTCACTATCTTTGCTGTATATATTTGATACCATTAATCATGGATTACTGATGAGTGATTTTTTTGGCTGTAAGTCATGTATGGCCAGTACACACTCGCTCCAGAGCCACTTCACTAATGTGATAATGATGAAAAGAATTTGGGCAAAAAGCTCTGCTGTTTTCTAACCCTGACCAACAACACTGTCATCTATCCCACATGCTCTGAGACAAAACCGGAAAGTAGTCTGAAAAACTCAGATAAGGAAGGAACAGGCCTACAGGCCCATGCTAAGTGGGTCCAACTCACACCTACTCATGTGCTTGTCTAACCCATTTTTAAAGCTACACAAGGTTTTTGCTTAAATGATGCTACTCAGGAGTTTGTTCCACTCATCCATGACTGTTACCAAACCAGTGCTTTCCCATGTTCTTTCTAAATCTGAATTTTTTCATCTTGAATCATAAGGAGAGAGGGGGCACTTAAGAAATCAATATTAAATTAAAAATAGAAATAAAAAAAAGGAATAAAAGTCAAAAGAGATTATGAAGTTAAAATTGCAAAGGATTTGAGGATTACCCAAAAGATTTCTTTCAGGTATGTTTTCCAGCGCATTTATGTCCATTCTGTAATACACCGACCAGAACTGTGCAGCATAATCTAAATGAGGCCTAACCAATGATATATAGAGTTGGTTAGGCCTGAGGACACCTTTTATTTATGCTTCTTGATATGAAGCCAAGAATTCTTTTCACTTTATTGTGAATGCTTACGTACTGTTGTTTTGACTTTAGATTACTGCTAACCAGAACTTCTAAATCTTTTTTGCATTTGGAGTATGTAATTAAGATCTACATTATTTAGTTTAAGTGCATACCATGGTTATTTTCTTTTCCAAGGCTTAGAACTTAGCATATGTCTACATTAAAATGCATCTACCCCATCTCTGACCACTGCATCAATCTGTTCAAATCTTCCTGTAGTGCTCATCTGAATTAATCTGACAGCCTATTTTGGCATCATCGGCAAACTTGCTTAGGTTGCTATTTATTCCCTCATCTATGTCGTTTATGTGTATTGTAAACAACAAAGGGCCCAGCATGGACCCCTGTGGAACACTGCTTGTGATGCATCCCCACTGTGATTTTTCCCCACTTATGCAAACTCTGTTGTCTATCTGTCAACTATACCTCTTATCCAGGAAAGAATTTCCACCCCTATTTCATGTGCCTCTACTTTCCTCAGTCTCTTGTGTGGAACTCTATCAAAAGCCTTACTGAAGTCCATATACACAATATATTCATTACCATGATATACCTCCTCAAATACTATAGTGAATAAGGGTAATAAATTCATGAGGCAGTTATGCCTCTGTAAAACTGTTGAGATCCTTTGATCAATTTATGTTGTTTAAGGTGAATGATTAATAGGCTCTTCACCCTTTCAGGGTTTCGGATGTACTAGTACGGCTTACGCACCAGGGTTTTTGACGTACTAGTATGCCTAAATTCTAGCACCCTCAAATCTACTGAGAGAAAGCTGGTAGGCCTACATATGAAAGAATGGGTCTATGTGGTCAGTGTGCGCAGTATAAAAAAAAATCCTGCAGCACACAGTGCGTAATGAGAAAAAAAAAAAACTGACCGTGTTTTTGGATTAAAACAGCGACTTTGCACTGTATTTTCGTATGGTATTTATTGTTGTATTCTAGTTTTCTTGGTCTCATTTTATAGAATGGAAGACATATTACAGAAATTGAGATGATTTTGACTGGTTTCACAATGAAAAGTACCTTGACATTGAGCTCAAAGTAGCAGAAATGTTCGATTTTTACCAAAGTTCAAAAGTAAACAAATCATGCTAAGCGTCTAATACACATCAACTGGTGAGTCTAATATTCTTTCACAAGTGCGCTGATATTATTTATACCATTTCTAAACTAATGCAGTAGTCTGCATAACAGTAAATCTATTTTTTGTGAGAATAAAAATTCGAAGTGGAAAGCAAAAGAATGTAATAGGGGCATGGGGACATGACTAATGAACAGAGGAAATGTTACTTTAGTGCCAGGAATGTCTTTCTTGTTTATTCTGGACCCTATTTGGAAATTGGCATCTTTTGAAATTTGTGTGAAATTGGCAAAATTGCTAAATTCTGACCACTGTATTGGATAGTTGAAATCGGTAAATGGGTGGTTTCTTGTACTCATTTGATAGAAAAAAATGGAGTTCTAGCAAAATAGTTATGAGTTTTGTCGACTAGTACAGTGGAATTGGCCGAAAATAGGGCTCAAAGTGGGCAAAATCGCTGATGCATAAACATCGTCGAGACCGCTAACTTTGCGAGAGCATAATTCCATAAGTTTTCCATCAAATTTCACACTTTTGGTGTCATTATGATCGGGAAAAGATTCTGTAAGAAAAAATAATTTTTTTTTTCAAATTTGGGCAATCCTGAGAACAAGTCTGGAAGAGGGTCTGGGGACCCTGAAAGGTTTAACAGTGGAACATGCAGAGGAGTCTGCAGTTCATTACCCTGAACCTAAGAATGGCCAGAGACCGAGCAAAAGATTGTCTTTATGCTTTCTAAAGAGGTAACACAGCTAGCGCTAAATGCGAAGGATGATGGGATGCAGTTAGTTGAGGCTCCTTGGCAGCTTGTAATGGACTTCTGAAATTAGACTTCAACAGAAGACATGAGAAGACAAACATGAATGATAGCAGCGAAAACCTCATGTAACTAGTATTGTACCTAAACATTTCATCTTGCTTTTATTTTCCTGTCATTTTGAAGTCTCATATACTGCAGTTTTCATTTTTTTTACCTATCCTGCTCTACATGCACTTCTTGGGTTTTGTTTTTTGATCTTCCTTGCTCTAAGTATGTTTCTTGTGTCCCTCTCATATGCATCATTATTTCAGTTTCTTTGTTGTTCTGTACTTGGATTTCTAATCTTTCACTATGTGATTTGTCTTTGTTTCCTCTTCCCACTCTATGTATGCTTGATAGTTTCTCCAAGAAATTTTTTTTTTTTTTTTTTTTTTACTATTTGATACGTATGATAAATAACCCTATCTTTGTCTCTCTTATAAAAGCAGACAGACAGATTTACCTTCCTTGATTTGTTTACTAACTGCTTAGGAAACATGGAATTTTTTATCACAGTGGATACCTTTTGTGGTTCACCAAAATCTCACCTCACACACTACACGTTTTGCTCCTTTACATTTTGACAGCTGCCATGTAAGCCTTGTGTATATAATAAAATACAAATTTTAACTGTTAGACTTGTTAGATCAACTGTTAAATGTTCTTTGCCATAAATTCATACTTAGTTTACATTCTTAGATTTAGGCTTTGTTAGTTGCATCTGGCCTCTCACATACTGATTTAAAAATTGGCAGCAGTTTAGGTTATGAGGGACCCAGAACATTCATTGGGTTATGAGAAGGAAGGAATCATAGAAACTTCAGGAGTGGCAGAAGAGGAGTGGACAGAATAAATGTGCCTGAGGAAGGAAGGAGACAAAGAAGTGGAATCTTGGGGAACCAGAGAAGACTCAGAAGTAAAAGTCTCCTTGTTTGACCTTTCCACTGTCTACTGAGGAGCAAGAACAAATTGTTTTAGACTGTATGGAACTGGAAACAAAAGGTAGGAGTTTCAGAGAAGGCCCTTCAAATTTGTTACATTCCAAAGATAGAGGAAAAGGCATGTATCAGGGGGAAGTCGAGAAGTAATACAAACATGAAATTCTGGGCAGATCATTATTATTACATTCATGCTCTTAAAGAGGGTTTGCCAGTGAGGGGCTATTTATCCAATGAAGTGGGCCTGTCTTGACCTTGTGGGTTTAACTCTTCTGCTATAATATTACATTCATGTAGGGAGTGCTACACCCATGGAGGTCACATAGTACCTGGGGAATGGGAGGCGTTCAGGTTCGATCCAAGGAAAAGGAGGACAAGCTCAGTTCCTTGGATCAAAAAAAAACCCTCACTGGCCATATGACATTTCTTTTTCTTTAGGAAGTTGATCTCTTGTTCCTTAAGGAATACTGAACATAAACATTAATAGAAATATGCTAACTGAGCCTCAATGCAATTTAGACAATTCTAGATAGAAAGCTTGAAATTTTAGCCATCAGAGGTTAGGTTGGCAGCATTTCACAGTGTTTACATTGTTTTAATGCAGGATGGACAAAAATCTCGAGTTATTATGATCAAGTTAAGCACTATACCCAAAGGGGTCATACAGTATTGCATGGGAGGGGTGTGAAAAAGAAGGAATGTAAGAATGACAAGAGTGAGTGATGGGCAGGGGTTAGTGGAGGTAGGGGAGAGTACAAGAATAAAATTTAAATCAAAGTTGGTTCAGTAAGTTTATGTTAAAGTCAAAGTCTACAATATATCTAAATATCTTGTTTATTCAGTAATTACTTGCTGGTGAACAGTTGAAGAGGAATTGGTCCACTGTGCATGTTAAGGTGTCTGAAAATGGTAACTGACTTGTCACCTAGTTTGTAATTTTGATAGGTTATTCATTTGCGTGTCATCATTAAACCTGCACTACAACCCCTCATTGTGCTGGGTATGGAAAATGACTTTTGGATGTACTGGAGCTTCATTGGGCTGAAATGTAAACTTTAGACTAGGTTTGTGAGCTATAGCTCTGATATAAAGGTAGTGTCATTTAATGTGGTGACTTTTTGTGATTGTAACTAGGTCAAAAAGTGAGAGGATCTTAATTAAAGGAATTAGATCTGTCCTCCCCTTCCTTGGATTAAACCTGATTACCTTGCATTTAATGGGTGCTGTATGGCCCCTGCAGGCCATACAGCACTTATCTTAAATACTACAGTAATAGCAGCAGTAATTTTGACTGTAGAGTGAGAGAAATGCTATCAGATATTGCACTGATGACTTAGATATCTCTTTGTGAGTTAGAAGCTGGAGCCATAGTTAGATGTGGTTTTGAAGAATCATTTACAGTATTCATAAAACAAAAATTACCTTCAGTTCCCTATTCCTCTATCTGCCTTTCATTTCAAAAAGGAGAGGCTTAACTGTCCACTAAAAAAAACCCAGGGCTAATAGATGGGTATATATGTGACCAGTGGACTAAGTAGCAGCCACAGGACAGAAAGAGTGCCTATCCTCTGATACCTGCTTGGCCTTAGCCTAATACACTACCCCACCTAACAGTGGATTAGAATTATTATATCGCTGGGGAAACACTCAAACCATAGGGGCCATGTAGAAACTGGGGAATAGGTAGCGGTCAGGTTTCCTCTCAGTATTTTATGTCTCCCCCATCCCTCCTGTCCTCGTGTCATCAGGTCGATTTTCCATAACTTCTCCTCGTAGGACATGCTCCTTAGCTCTGGGATTAATCTTGTTGCAAACCCTTGCGCTGTCTCTAATTTCTTGACGTACTTGACCAGGTGTGGGTTTCAAACTTGCGCTGCATACTAAAATATAGGCCTGACATACACAGTGGCAGAACACTATTCTCAGATTTACCAGTTGCCCATATGCATGTGTGAGAGTGAGTGAGGAGTGATTCTGACTCGATCGTGAGGTGTGTTAATGTTAATAACTTAAAAAGTATCAGCTGGTTCACTTCTTTTTAACCAGTACTGTAAAAATGGCTGATACAGATACTTTGGCACATCCCTAGTATATTGTTGGATATCTCAAGGGTAGGTGACTTGCAAATCATCTTATAGTAAAAAATGGAAGAGCTCTGAATATTACGTTTGGCCTCTACTCCCCCCCCCCCCCCAAAAAAAAAAAAAAAAAAAAAAATCTTGCTCTGTGAACAGGCTCAACTTCCAGGCAAGTGAGAATAAGGTGTGTATGGATCACTGTCCAACACTAAATCATAGGTCAGTGTTTAGTTTGGTCCCTGCATGTTATGGCCATCCTGTGGACTCGGAAGCTTACCCAGCAAGGCCATTACAAAAAATAAAATCCCTTACCAGTTATGTAAAGGACCTACCCACCAGGGGGTATGTATTGAATTACAGTAGACCATTATATTACACAGATTTATTTGCCATGTTTTGGGTATAGCACTATTGAAAAATTGACACTATTTTATACAAAGTAAAATTAACACGGTTCCGACCTCTTCAAGGGGGGCTCCTTGGCGTAGTGAAGAGGCTCTTGGTCTGAGGAATTAGAGCTGTCGGTCTCCTTCCTCAGACCGAACCTAATTATCCCCCAATCCCCCGTTCCCTATCCCATCCTCCCCTTTTTCCTTTCCTCCTCCTCCTCCCCACCCCTTCCTTTTGCCCTTCCTTTTTGGCCTTGGGGATTTTTTTTTTTTTCCACAGGCACGCTAGTTCCTAGGTAGGAGAAAGGATACTGGGGTCCATCCCATTCCGTTGAGGTTCTTGGCAGTGGCATAGTTTGCCGTGGAATCTGGATTGCCTGGGGATGTCCCGATCCCTCTCCTGTATCCCGGAGGGTGGCTTTGGGTGTCTCTCGGGCGACGGGTGTATCTCTGGAAGCCACCTTTCGGATTCCGGAGGCGGTGGCCGAAAGAGGTATGCTTTGTGGCGGATTTCAGGCTGCCCTCTCTTTTGTCCACCGAGGTAGCTCGGCAGATGTGAGGTTGCTATCCTGGATTGCCGGTTTACTGGCATGATGGGTAGGGTATGGCACGGGTTCCATGCTGCATCTGCGCTACTTGCGGTGCTGAGGTCCTCTTGGGCGCGGAGGGAGATTTCTGGCCCTTTCATTCCTCCTAGGAACTATCCCTCCCCGGTCTCCCCTTTTTTTATTCTTTTTTTTATTTTTATTTTCTTTTCTTCTTTCTTTTTTTTTTTCTTAAAAACAAAAAGAAAGAAGTAACCTAATGTAGACAGCCTGTACTGTCTGCACAGACAGCCCATGCTGTCTGCCAGCTTAGTTCATATTTCGCGCCACTCAAGTGCTGCCACCTATAGGCCTTGCCACTTCAGTATGCCCAGACTTGCCTCGCTCTCACTCACACAGCGGCCTGGCATCAACACACAAGTACTCCCAGCTCTCTCTCATGGGCATGGCCCTGCCCGGGCCATGGGCACAAACACACAAGCCTGTGTAACCCAACACTAGTTATCAATAAAGTAAGAAGCCTCCGAAGAAGTATATCATTCACACCCCGCTATACAGCCTACCAAAACAAGCGCCATTATACTAACCATGGCAGCCCTAGTCCATGAACCTGCTACCCCCGGGCCCCTTCTTGATACCGTACCCCGTTCTGACCCCGCCTCGTCTTTGGACCACTCTTCGGACACTCCTCATGCCTCTGTACCTCTTGCCGGTGTTGTTTCCTCACCTGCTTCAGGTACTGAGGCCTCGACTGACTCCTTCGATTTATCTGACCTTCGCTCTCCTCTGACTATGCTTCCAGCCTCTCCCTCTACGGTGCGGCAATTTTCGAATCGCCGGCCCGTTCCATGTCGGACCAACTCTGGTCCCACGCCTAAACGCCAACGACAGTTACCTGCTGATGATACTTCTCCACCTTCTCGTTCTTCTCAGAAAAGATGACACGTCCTTCACTTCCCTTTTCCACGCTCAGTTTCAGACTGCACAATGGACAAAATTCTTCACGTTACGACCGACTTCCTCTACTGCCTATCTTTCTGACCACAGTATTGGAAAAGGCACCCCTACGCCTTTGTTGGTAAGATTTTTCTTTTAAATGCTCTTAAAGAGCGGTACGCACATTCATCCCCATACAGAAGCTACCCAGGCTCATGAGCTTTCTCGCTTTTCCCATATCGATACTGTTCCTGTCACTTTGGGAAAAAACATCATTCCCTCAATTCTTGTAGTGGTCCCGGGTCATTCTGCCTTTTTCATAGTTCAACAAAATTTCCAGACATGTGGCACTGACATTCTTGAACAGTTTGGAACTCCAAGATCCCCCAATCCTAAGGTAACATTTAAGTTCTTCCTGCCCGCGGGCCCGGAGACGATACCCTAGCAATGTGGCTCGTTTAACTTTGACAGCCGTGAACTCCCATCCTCAGTTTTATGTAGCAGGACATGGGTTTACAATTTTAGAAAGGTGATCCCTACACCGCAACAGTGTTAGAAATTGCTGGCTATTTGGCCTCCACGAAATATTGCAGATCTACGCTGAATGCCCGGTCTGTGGTGCAGATGACCATTCTAATATATCTTGCAATCGACCCCCCTCTTGCCTTATTGTCATGAGGCTCACCCTCGTACTCTCGCCGTTGTCAAGTCTACTTAAATGAGCGGGAAATCCGTTACCTCAAAGAGGCAGAAGGTCTCCCTTATGCCATGGCAGTTTCTCATCTCCGCCTCCAAGGGAGACTACCTCGTGTTTCTTATTCCCATGTTTCAAAACGTCCCCCCACTTCTGGGATCCCATCTTCTGCAACCACCTCTGTGGTTACCTCTCCCATAGTCACTCCTGTATCTAATTCTTTTGCTGTCTTAGGCTCAGACGTCCCTATGTCAACGCCTCAGTCTGATCTCGCTTCTTCGTGTTCTCCCTCACAAGCCTCAGTAGCGACGAGATCTCGTATGACACCTCCTCCTAATCGTCCCTCTACTTCTCAGTCAAAAAAAGGTCCGTTAACACCTCCTACCCATCTTCCACCTCCTCATTTTACCTTCCCTGTGTCTGTACCTGGTTCTTCCCCTCTCACTGGCTCTGTTACAAGTGTAGAGGTTCACCCTCCTCCTCATACTGTACCTTCCTCCCCTGTTCCCTCCCAAGTTTCTTTCCCCTTCTGCCACCCCCAGGTTTCTGCCTCTTCTGTCCCTTCCACGCTTTTCCAGTTCCCTCCACCCTTTCGCCCCCCCCCCTACCTTGGTACAGTCCATTTCAGTTCCAATCTTTACTCATCCTCCCCTACCATTTCCAATATTGTCTCCCATACGGCGTCTCTGAATTCCGAAACACTTGAAGCAATCTCTGAATATATTGCAGAGACCAAACCATCAATGGACACTGATCCACCCTCCATTCCTTCTCTCTCCTCTGCGCAACTCCTTTCTTCACAGCGCACCATTCCTTCGCTGCTTGAACGTTTTCCACTGCCTCTGCATGTGGACTTTTCTAACCCCTCTAGTCCGTAGGAACCCTTACCTGCGGATTTCAGGTATCTTTATCATTGCCAATCATGGCCTATTTACAGTGGAATATACGCGGCCTCAGGGGTAATCGGGGCGAGCTTCAGATGTTACTCTCCCAGTTTTCTCCAGTTGGTGTTTGCTTACAGGAACCAAAATTGCACTCTGTTGTTATCTCTCCCATCTCAGGCTATAATTTATTGTATTCTTCAGATCCTTTTCCTGATGGGACCTTTAATGAAAGTGCCCTTCTTCTAAAGCATGATATTCCGTACCATCAGCTACTTGTTCGTACTTTGCTGCATTACACAGCAGACCGTATCCACTTGCATAGGTGGTATACGCTCTGTTCTTTATATCTCTCTCCTTCTCGGGCATTATCTATTTCCCGGGTATTGCCTTTCTTGTTTCGTCAATTTCCGCCACCGATTCTGTTACTTGGCAATTTTAATGCCCACCATTTCCTCTGGGGGGAATCTCACTGTGATTCCCGTGGCTTCAGTTAAGAGGCTTTTTCTTGCCACCCACCCCCTCCATGTTTTAAATACAGGTACTCAACCCCATTTGATCCTCGGACTCACTCTCTCTCTTGCATCGATCTCTCAGTCTGCTCTTCCTCCCCCGCATTAGACTTCACTTGGTCCCGTTCCCCCCGGACTTACATGACAGCGATCATTTCCCAAACATTCTTACTTTCCCTTCATATTCACCCACCTCTTCGCATCCACGCTGGCAATTTGATCAGGCAAATTGGAACCTTTACTCACACCTAGCTGTTTTTAGAGAGGTTCCTTCTTCGTCCTCCATCGATGAGCTTTTACACCTCTTCTCGTCCTCCGTTTTAACCGCAGCTTCTAATTGTATACCCCAAACTTCGGGCAGGCATTCTTAGAAATGCGTGCCTTGGTGGTCTCATGCTTGTGCTCGTGCAGTACGTTTGAAACGCGCTGCATGGGGCAGGTACCGGTACAATAGAACCACAGAGAGACTTCTTGATTTTAAGCAGAAGCGTGCGATCACTCGCTGTATCATCCGTGACGCTAAACGCACTTGCTGGCGAGATTATGTCTTCACCATCACCTCTGCTTCCTCTATGAGTGCAGTCTGGAAAAAAGTATGAAAACTGAGTGGTAAATATTCTCCTGACCCGGCTCCTGTTCTGCAGGTTGCCTGTGTTGATATAGCAAACCCACTAGATGTTGCCAATGAAATTGGCAATCATCTGGTCCGTATTTCTCAGGGACTCCATCTATGCCCCTCATTTCTTTCCTCAAAGTCTGCCAGAGAGTTAGCACCCTTGGACTTTTCTTCTCTCAGAGAAGAACAGTATAATGTGCCTTTTACACTTCAAGAACTGGAGGCAACACTCTCAGCTTGCCAATCATCGGCAGCTGGGCCCGACGACATTCATACTCGTATGCTAAAACATTTACATCAGTGAGCCCTTGCAGTCCTATTATGCCTTTACAATCTTATTTGGTCACAAGGAGTTCTTCCACAGCTGTGGAAATCCGCCATTGTTCTCCCTTTCCGCAAACCAGGCACTACGGGACATGAAGCCTCCCACTATCATCCCATTGCTCTTACCAGTGCAGTTTGCAAAGTGATGGAACACCTAGTAAATAGACGTTTAGTGTGGTATTTAGAGCCACCAACAGTCTCTCCACTCGTCAATATGGCTTTCGTAAGGGACGTTCTACCATAGACCCCTTACTACGCTTGGATACGTATGTTCGTAATAACCACTCAGTTATTGCCATATTTTTTGACCTTGAGAAGGCATATGACAACTTGGAGGTATATTATTATTATTATAATCAAGGGGGAAGCGCTAAACCCGGAGGATTATACAGCGCCTGGGGGGGGGATGTGGAAGGCATTCAGGCTTAATTCGGGGAACTGGAGCACAGATCCAATTCCCTAAATCAAGAGCCCCTCACCAACATCAAGGAACCTTCCTTGAGGGGACTTGGAGGTATAATATTTTAGCCCAAGCCCACTCCTTAGGCCTTCGAGGCAATCTACCATCCTTCCTTAAGAACTTTTTAACTGACAGGCATTTCCGTGTTCAGGTTAATAATGTGCTCTCCCCGGACTTTATTCAAGCTGAAGGTGTCCCCCAGGGATGTGTTCTGAGCACAACACTTTTTCTCCTTGCTATTAATGATTTGGCCTCTAGTCGTCCATCAAATATTTGGTCATCACTCTATGTTGATGACTTCGCTATTGCCTGTGCAGGCGCTGACTGTCACCTCATTACAGTTTCTCTCCAGCATGCAGTCGACCATGTTTCCAATTGGGCCACCACACATGGGTTTAAATTTTCAGCACTAAAACCCACCAAATTACTTTCACTAGACGCTCTGTCATCTCCGATCATCCTTTGTACCTCTATGGCTCCCGTATCCCTGAACGTGATACAGTCAAGTTTCTGGGCCTCCTCTTTGACCGTAGGTTATCCTGGAAACCTCACATTACCTCTCTGAAGGCAACTTGTCACAGCCGGCTGAACCCTCTTAAAACCCTTGCTCATCTTTCATGGGGAGCTGATCGTCGAACCCTCCTTCGCCTACATTCCACCCTCATTTTATCGAAACTTGATTATGGTGACCAGATCTATTCAGCGGCATCTCCTGCTACTCTCTCTAGCCTTAATCCCATTCATCACCAAGGATTACGTTTATGCCTCGGTGCTTTTCGCTCTTCCCCTGTCGAGAGCCTTTATGCAGAAGCGAACGTTCCATCCTTATCCGATCGCCGTGATGCCCATTGCCTTCGCTACTATGTACGCTCTCATGATCGCAATCCTTCCATTTATAGAATGGTCACTGATATTAGTAGACATTCTTTATTTGTTCGCCGCCCCTGTTTACTCCGTCCCTTCTCTCTTCGCCTTCATTCGCTCTTGTCTTCTCTTCAATTACCACCTTTCTATGTTCATGTAGCATCTCACTTTTCCCTACCCCCCTGGGAAGTTCCAGCCGTTCGAGTCTGTTCTTTCTCCCTTGCTCGAAAGCCCAACTGTCTACGGTCGCTTCTCGCTCTCTTTTTCTTGACCACTTTCACTCTTTCTCATGCCATTGCTGTGTACACAGATGGCTCTAAGTCTTCTGACAGCGTAGGATTCGCAGCAGTGTTTCTGGACAGCGTCGTACGAGGGCATTTACTATCTTCGGCTAGTATTTTTACTGCTGAATTGTATGCCATCCTTGCAGCACTTACCTGTATTGCATCTATGCCTGTGTTATCATTTGTGGTTGTCTCAGACTCCCTTAGTGCTTTACAGGCTATACAGAAATTTGATACACCTCACCCCTTAGTCCTCCGTATCCAACTTTGGCTACGCCGCATCTTTACCAAGCATAAAGATATTGCTTTTTGTTGGGTCCCTGGTCATGTTGACGTACAGGGCAATGAACAGGCAGACACTGCTGCGCAGTCAGCAGTACATGACCTACCGTTTCATATAGAGGTATTCCATTTACGGACTATTTTGCTGCAATATCTTCCCACCTTCACACCCGTTGGCAACAACGTTGGTCTACTATGCTCGGCAACAAACTTCAATCTATTAAACCGAGTATAGGTTACTGGCCGTCTTCTTATCACCAGTGTCGAGGTTGGGAGACTACTCTCTCCCATCTTCACATTGGCCATACTCGTCTTACTCATGGATATCTCGTGGAGAGGCGCCCTGCTCCTCTCTGTGAGAATTGCCAAGCTCTATTATCAGTCAGCCACATTCTGTTGGACTGCCCACTTTATCAACGAGCACGCAGAATTTACCTCCGTCGTCGTCTTCGCTCCGCTGCTCTCTCTTTACCTTCCCTTCTCGCTGATGGACCCACCTTTCATCCGGGCTCTCTCATTGACTTTTTGACAACAACTGACTGACTTCACAAATTCTGATACCTTCAGCCCTTTCTACCCTCTACCCCCTGCCCTGCTGTTTTCTGTAACCTACTGATCATCCCTCCTCCCTTCTGCCATCCAATACCCTCGCTTCCTTCCCTGCCCTGCAGCGCTGTATAGCCCTTGTGGCTTAGCGCTTCTTTTTGATTATAATAATAACACGGTTCCGTTTGCAGGCGCGGAAAAAATCTCCCCACCTCAAGCTGCTGCCTTGTTGTGGGTCAGCGGGGAAGACCTACTGCCATCCCCTGACACCCCTATCCCAGCCTTCATGAATGTGTTCAGTTCCATTGTCTTAGGAGCTAGTTGTGTTTGTGAATTGTTTTGATCTTTTAATTGCCATATCGTGTATCTGCCAAGCAATCAAGGCACCCAATAGGCATACGCGTATTGCAGAAAGTAGCAAGAAAAGGTACGAGTGTTTAAGTCTTAGAATTAATGAAGAAGATAGAGATATTAGATAAGAGATTGACACTTCATTAAGGTCATAGGCTCTTTGTACAGTTAAAAAGAATGAGGTAAATATACGAGTTTGTGTGATGACTTACTTGCCGACTTATTTTACTGATTTAAAGTTAGACTTTTTCACTGAAGAGGACCCTGACAAATTTAGAAGCAGTGCTCTGAAAGTGTCTAGAGCAGCCAATGCCTTACCGTACTGCAGGGTAAAATAGAACAGAAATCCATTACAGAATTTATGCACACTTCAGTACCAGAACCGTTACCATCCACCTCAGCCCAGTAGGGCCACAGCATAACTCCTTCACAATCAACAACAAACACCAGCACCCACAATTTATGGTAAGAAATACTATTATTTCTGTTGCGTTTTATCTCTACCAAACATAAAGATATTGTTTTTTGTTGGGTCCCTGGTCATGTCGACGTACAGGGCAATGAACAGGCAGACACTGCTGCGTGGTCAGCAGTACATGACCTACCAATTTCCTATCGAGGTGTTCCATTTCTGGACTATTTTGCTGCAATAGCTACCCACCTTCGCACCCGTTGGCAACAACGTTGGTCAACTCTGCTCGGTAACAAACTTCATTCTATTAAACCGAGCATAGGTTACTGGCCGTCTTCTTGTCATCAGTGCCGAGGTTGGGAGACCACTCTCTCCCGCCTTCGCATTGGCCACACTCGTCTTACTCATGGGTATCTCATGGAGAGGCACCCTGTTCCTCTCTGTGAGCAGTGTCAAGTTCCAGTATCGATTAGCCACATTCTGTTAGACTGCCCTCTCTATCAACGAGCACGCAGAATTTACCTCCAACGTCGTCTTCGTTCTACTACTCTTTACCTTCCCTTCTTGCTGATGGACCTTCCTTTAATCCTGACTCTCTCATTGACTTCTTGACAACGACTGATTTACTCCACAAACTCTGATACTTTTCGCACTCCCCTCAGCCCTTTCTAGTTCAGTCTCTTGCTGCCCTTTACCCTTTCACCATCCACTGCCCTGCTGTTATCCGTAACCTATTACTCATCCATCTCCCTTTTGCCACCTGATGCCCTCGCTTCCTTCCTGCCCTGCAGCGCTGTATAGTCCTTGTGGCTTAGCGCTTCTTTTTGATTAGTCTTAAGCAGTAAAAATAACATAATACAATGAACTACAATTACATATTCACTTATTTTTGTAAGATCTGGAGGTCTAAAAAAAAAAAAAGTTTGGGTTTTTTGGGGGGCTCCCAGGTATATAACCCTATTTTTCCCACAAGTTCTTCGGTTTAACACGAATTTACCTAACATGGCATTTTCAGGAATGTAACCACCACGTAATATAACAATCTACTGTATTTATTTTAGGATAATAAAATGCAGTCTGACTAATTTGATGTTATTATAGGACTTATTGTTAACAAATATATAAATATGTACACAATCTTGCTACAAACTATTTCGCTGTCTTTTGTAACAAGATACAATAGGAATCTTTACACAGCATGGAATTGTTAGCTTGATGGGGGCATCCCTGCCTTGGCTTGTGCTTTGTAGGACCTAACCAGCATGGCCTATTTCCTTAATATAAGACTTACAAAGTCAAAGAATGCAGGCCACACTGTACCTGGAATGAATGCCTTAAATGGTATATTGTCAGTACAAGACAAAGGATAGTACAGTGTAGCCCCAGTTTTATAGACTAGCCAGCTGGTGTCTTCAGTTGTAGACTCCTCTGGGAAAGGTAAAAAATATTTTGAAATGACTGATTCTGAAGAATTACCCATGTAACAATAACACATAGGTTGTCAGTCACACATGCCGGTAGTCTGCCCCCAAACACATCACAGATATAATCTCTTGTCTCCATTGCTACCTCAGTTACCTAACCAAAGGTCTTGCATCAGTTATATTCAAGTACTGTTATTGTTCATTAGTATAAAAAAAAAAAAGGCACAAGCCTTGAACACTTGTGTTTGCTTTCAGTACTTCATGACCTGTGTAATACTGAGTGTGCAAGCTTGGAGCAGGTATTTACTGAATATACAGAAATTATAATGGCTGAGCACCAATAATCCCTAACAATGATTGTGGACCCAGCCTTCCTAGCCTCCCACTGCCATTCTGCCCTGACTAGATGTATAGTATAGTTCCTCAAGGGGAAACTGCATCACTCATTTCCCACCTGAATATTCTAATGAGTTAACATATCTCTTATTTTATATTATCACAAATCAGGCATAGCTTTAAAAGCAAGAAATGCATTTATGAAACATGACCCAGTCTAATTTAAGTCAAGAAAGTGTTATGAACACATTATCATGCAAGCCTGGATCATATGTGACCACATCAATCTGTCCCAATACATAAAGGCCCTCTAGACCACCTAGACCAATGTATAGAATGTCTCTTATACATCCCAAGTCTGCATGAAATTGTGATAGAACATTGAAGAACAAGGAATTAGCAAACATCTAATAAATATAAACAAAAAGCTGCACACTTTGTGACTGTGCCAATCAGGCACTTGCCATAACAACAGCAACTGGATACAGTAACTGAAATACACTAGTAATTCACATGCTATGGCTCGTTGGAATGCTCAATATACTAGGCACTTTTAGCTTGGATTCCTAAGTGATAATTTTAATGTTTTTAATTTGTAATTTTTAAACTAATTATGGATTTCTTTTTTATTATAGACAAAGAAAATAAATGTTTCACAAATTGTTATAATGACTATATTTACCCTCTCTGATTCTACCATTCATGCCAGGCCACAAGAGTAAAACTCTTGAAACAAGTTGTGCATGTCCATGTATGTATTTTATATATATACATATATATATATATGTGTATATATATATTATATACACACACTACATATATGCACACACCCAAATATCCCTCCACCCCCACACATATATACACTGCATGTACACATGCTCCCCCCTCCCAAACACACACACACACACATCCATACATATATACACTCCATGCACACACAAAATTCTTGCCTAACTCCTTCAGGAACTTGAATGTGCTCTTTCCCGATGAGCTGAGGGTGTCTGAAACTATGGGAATGAACATGTAATAATGAGCAAGTTCATTATTTTCTAGACTTTTGGGACTCCCTGAATCTGACAGCTGCACTGCCTTCATCCCTACTGTATTAGAGATAAGAGCCAGTCATTGTGGACACACACGTTTAGTCCCACACCACCTGTCATCTATACAGGCTTACAAGGTAATTCCACGTGGATGCTTTTGGCTGCCATCAGATCTTCATAGTTACAGGGTTCCCTTATTGCTGGGCATCTGGCTGTTGCAAGGCTTCTCTTGATAATGTTAACATCGTTATACCTTGCAATCTTTTCCTCATGTCTATGGCAAATAAGACCATGGTACCCGAATTTGTCCGCTGATACACTGCTGCAGATAAATCTATGTTTAGTGGGATAGGTGCAACAAGGCAAAGAGCAACGTCAATATGAATGATCTGAAGGTTGAGGTGTGTGCCTACAGGAATTAGGGACAGTCAACAGAAAATCCCCACGTTAAATAGCTCTCACTGCCAATAGGTAAGCTCTGTTCTTGTAACACACTCGAGCACTGTTGAGGTTATATTTTCTACTACTATGGTATTTTAGCGTGACTACTTGTAGTTCTTAGGGGGGAACGTGTATATAAGTACGTATATGCATGTGTGCTTATATGTATACATGTGTTTAATATATATATGTCATGGTCAATTAGCAAGAACTCATTTAAAAAATTTTCTTATACGTTTCAAGATATATTTTTTCATTTATGTTAATGTAAAAGTTAATAATTTTGTACCAAAAGAACCTCGGAAAACATACCTAACCTTATTATAACATGCGTAATTTAGCTAAACCAACTAAATATATTTTTTTTGTTAGGTTCAGAATGATTTTTGTGAAATTATTGCATACACAAATTTTCGCTTGCCTTATTCGGCAAGAAGAGCATTGCTACTTAAGCCAAAATCGCAAGTTTTTACCTATTAAGCATGACACACACGTGTATGTATATATATATAATATAATATATATAGTTGGACTTGAGTCCTGGAAATGGGAAGTACAATGCCTGCACTTTAAAGGAGTGGTTTGGGATATTGGCAGTTTGGAGGGATATGTTGTGTATCTTTATATGTATATGCTTCTAAACTGTTGTATTCTGAGCACCTCTGCAAAAGCAGTGATAATGTGCGAGTGTGGTGAAAGTGTTGAATGATGATGAAAGTATTTTCTTTTTGGGGATTTTTTCTTTTTTGGGTCACCCTGCCTCGGTGGGAGACGACCGACTTGTCGAAAAAAAAAATATATATACATATATGTATATATATAGTGGACCCCTGCTTTATGATCAGCTCCCAATGCGACCAATTATGTAAGTGTATTTATGTAAGTGCGTTTGTACGTGTATGTTTGGGGGTCTGAAATGGACTAATCTAATTCACAATATTCCTTATGGGAACAAATTCGTTCAGTAATGGCACCTGAACATACTTCTGGAATGAAATAATATCGTAAAACGGGGGTCCACTGTATGTATGTACATATATATATATATATATATATATATAATCTTAGACAGGGATGTGTAATGTCACCATGGTTGTTTAATATATTTATAGATGGGGTTGTAAAGGAAGTAAATGCTAGGGTGCTCAGGAGAGGGGTTTATCTGGAGGATTAAATTTTGGGGAATCAAATTCAAAATGGGAATTGACACAGTTACTTTTTGCTGATGATACTGTGCTTATGGGAGATTCTAAAGAAAAATTGCAAAGGTTAGTGGATGAGTTTGGGAATGTGTGTAAAGGTAGAAAGTTGAAAGTGAACATAGAAAAGAGTAAGGTGATGAGGGTGTCAAATGATTTAGATAAAGAAAAATTGGATAATAAATTGGGGAGGAGGAGTATGGAAGAAGTGAAAGTTTTCAGATACTTGGGAGTTGACGTGTCGGCGGATGGATTTATGAAGGATGAGGTTAATCATAGAATTGATGAGGGAAAAAAGGTGAGTGGTGCGTTGAGGTATATGTGGAGTCAAAAAACGTTATCTATGGAGGCAAAGAAGGGAATGTATGAAAGTATAGTAGTACCAACACTCTTATATGGGTGTGAAGCTTGGGTGGTAAATGCAGCAGCGAGGAGACGGTTGGAGGCAGTGGAGATGTCCTGTTTAAGGGCAATGTGTGGTGTAAATATTATGCAGAAAATTCGGAGTGTGGAAATTAGGAAAAGGTGTGGAGTTAATAAAAGTATTAGTCAGAGGGCAGAAGAGGGGTTGTTGAGGTGGTTTGGTCATTTAGAGAGAATGGATCAAAGTAGAATGACATGGAAAGCATATAAATTTATAGGGGAAGGAAGGCGGGGTAGGGGTTGTCCTCGAAAGGGTTGGAGAGAGGGGGTAAAGGAGGTTTTGTGGGCAAGGGGCTTGGACTTCCAGCAAGCGTCCGTGAGCGTGTTAGATAGGAGTGAATGGAGACGAATGGTACTTGGGACCTGACGATCTGTTGGAGTGTGAGCAGGGTAATATTTAGTGAGGGGATTCAGGGAAACCGGTTATTTTCATATAGTCGGACTTGAGTCCTGGAAATGGGAAGTACAATGCCTGCACTTTAAAGGAGGGGTTTGGAGGGATATGTTGTGTATCTTTATATGTGTATGCTTCTAAACTGTTGTATTCTGAGCACCTCTGCAAAAACAGTGATAATGTGCGAGTGTGGTGAAAGTGTTGAATGATGAAAGTATTTTCTTTTTGGGGATTTTCTTTCTTTTTTGGGTCACCCTGCCTCAGGGGAGACGGCTGACTTGTTGAAAAAAAAAAAAATTATTATATATATATATATATATATCTTTCTTCTTTCTTTCAACACACCAGCCGTATCCCACCGAGGCGGGGTGGCCCAAAAGGAAAAACGAAAGTTTCTCCTTTTACATTTAGTAATATATACAGGAGAAGAGGTTACTAGCCCCTTGCTCCCGGCATTTTAGTCGCCTCTTACAACACGCATGGCTTACGGAGGAAGAATTCTGTTCCACTTCCCCATGGAGATAAGAGGAAATAAACAAGAATAAGAACTAGAAAGAAAATAGAAGAAAACCCAGAGGGGTGTGCATATATGTGCTTGTACATGTATGTGTATTGTGACCTAAGTGTAAGTAGAAGTAGCAAGACGTACCTGAAATCTTGCATGTTCATGAGACAGAAAAAAGGACACCAGCAATCCTACCATCATGTAAAAACAATTACAGGCTTTCGTTTTACACTCACTTGGCAGGACGGTAGTACCTCCCTGGGCGGTTGCTGTCTACCAACCTACTACCTATAATATATATATATATATATATATATATATATATATAATATTATATATATATATATATATATATATATATATATATATATATATATATATATAACTTGTATCTGAGCACCTCTGCAAAAGCAGTGATAATGTGTGAGTGTGTGAAAGTGTTGAATGATGATGAAAGTATTTTCTTTTTGGGGTCACCCTGCCTCGGTGGGAGACGGCCGACTTGTTGGGAAAAAAAAAAATATAATATATATATATATATATATATATTTTTTTTTCAACAAGTTGGCTGTCTCCCACCGTATGTGTGCGCTCCCACACAGCATATATTCCTTCTATTTGTAAATACCAATTAAATTATGCTTTTCAATCAAGGTATTTGCTGTTTCTCCTTCAAAACAAAGCCATAAATGGGTGTAACAGGTAAAAGATAAAATTTATGTTATACAAAATTGTCTTTACACGATTCACAGCCTTGCCTCATCTATACGAGCGGCTACTTTCATCCTGCAAGATTTACTCCTGAGCTTGAGAGTTACAAACCCCCACAGAAATCCTAAAGGTTATTTCATTGGATATAAGATTGTGAAATAAAGGAAATTCCCCTTGCAGTTATAGAAACACTGGGCACAAAGCACAGAGCTCTAAGGTAGCAAAACTTTCTTTGGCAGTTGTAAATTAATTTCTTTTTGTATTTTAGACGTTTTTGCTGTAACTTTTAAATGGTTCAGTAAAATGGGTAAGCAATTACGTATGTATAAAAATAACAATGAAAAATACCAAGATATCATGCAGCCATAACAAAGCTGATACATAAGGGCTCCTTAGTGGCCAGGTAACATTACTACATGGCTGAGGAAACCTAAGTAAGAGGGCTGGGTCTAAGAGTGGTGCTGATCATAGGGAAAAGAGAATGTCTGACGGTAGGAGAGCCTTGGTGGGGGTGTGGGCGGGTGGTCACTGGAGTCATTCGCAGTATCGTTAATACTACTTCCTGGTAGCCCTGAGAATAAAATTTTATATTTAACAAGACAATTATATCAGCAATTTTTTTATATCAAGCAAAAAATAGAAGGGAATTTAATAAGCAAGCCTTGTTAACATCACAAATATATGTAAGGATACAGTGTGACTGGGCTAAGCATAAAATATATATTTTATAGAAAAAAAAATAGTATTTTCTAATAATGATTTAATTAATAATTTTATATGCACACAGATTTTACAACTGTGAACCCAACACTTGTGTAAACTAGGTGCTATATACGTGCAAATACTAGTCAGCCAATGACCAGGATTTGCAAGTGTTCCTTGTTATGTTGTAGACAAGTTCCAGGCCTCTGGCAGCTATACTAAGCTCAATTAGGCTATAAACAATTATGCATAAAAAGAATCATCAATTCACTTTGCATAAACTGTACTGATCACATACATCGACCCTATCACACGTATGAAGTTATAAATAAAAATGATGAATCTGTACAACAGCTAATCAGCATAAAGTGAGGGAAACTTGTACTTTTATTCCTGCCCCAGAAGGGTAAAGGCGTGCGAGCCCAAGTAGGCTCGCACACCTTTATCACTGCGGATTCCCACTTTTTCCTTGTTAGCACATTTAAACAGCTATAATGAAACAGTAACCACAATTTAGTTAATATCTGGAATAATTTAATACAACATGTATGTTACCTGTTTGAGGTCCATTGGTGTGCCTTCGAGCAAGGGGAGTAGGTGATGACAAGTCCACTGAGTTGGTGCGACGATGTGGAGGTGGGTCCAACTGATACTGCTGAGGTGGTGGTGGAGGTGCTAATAAAGATGAAAGGGTTGGCCGGTGATGATGGGTATAATGGTGGTGAGTGTGTGGATGGTGAAGATTACTGATAGAATGTAAAGAATGTCCTACTGGTGCATGATGATGATGTGTGGGATTATGTTGTAGCCCTCCAGAAGAATGCATGCGTGGCAGAGTGGCTGTGCGTGGTGGAATTGGGGGTGGGGAAACATCCCGTGGAGGTAACTCAGGAGCATCTGGCGCCTGCTTCACCTGAAATGATAAATATGAACCACTAATCACTAACAAGTAAAAAATGATAAGCAGATTGCATTAGGTGACCAAGACATGCCTTCCTCTTTCCCCTCCTTTTCCTTTATCTCTTTCAGCATCAGCAAGCTTTTCAGCCTTTACCACACATTGGCCATCTCCCACTGAGGCAGGGTGATCTAAAAAAGAAGAAACAAAGGTTTTTCCTCTTTTTACATTTAGTAATTTATACAGAAGGGGTTACTAGACCCTTGCTCCTGGCATTGCAGTCACCTCTTATGACATGCAAGGCTTATGGATGAAGAATTTTTCTCCACTTCCCCATGGAGCCTTTACCACATAAACAAAATTATTTAGAATTCCCTGGAACAAAATGGCATTTTTAATAAATAACAAAAAAGGCACAATACCGTGACTGGAACGATACACAAATAACCCGCACATAAAAGAGAAGCTTACGACTACGTTTCGGTCCGACTTGGACCATTGACAAAGTCACACACTGTGACTTTGTCAATGGTCCAAGTCGGACTGAAACGTCGTCATAAGCTTCTCTTTTATGAGTGGGTTATTTGTGTATGGCATTTTTAAGGTCTAAGAAGATAAAGCATTATGGTGAGAAGAAAAGCAAAGCAAGAGATGCAAATCTAAAACTACTGCTCAGATCTGAATAATATACTGCCATCAAGGTTGCATGAAACATTGTTACCAATCAGCAAAAACTGACTAGTAATTTATCCTGTAACAATTGGCAAATAACTTCAGTGGAGAGATGACTAAGCACCCTTGTTTTGCCATTTTCCTTTATTGCACTGTTATTAAACATATACATTGCAATATTTTATAACTTCATTATATTAGCGAGTCATAAAGAACAGCCATAAGGTAGTAAAGAATAGCAAGCACAGCCAAAAATTCTTTCAGTACTCTATGTCTGAAATGATGATACTGGATAAAAAGAAAATTTTTATGAAGTTTTCATGTATAAAATTAGGGGCTTTTATAGGTTAATATACACTCAGTGGCTACTTTATTAGGTACATCTGCACACCTGCTAGTTAATGCAGATGTGACAGCATCTCAAAGCCTAAAAGCATGCAGACATGGTCAAGAGGTTCATTTGCTGTTCAGACCAAACATCAAAATGGGGAAGAAATGTGATCTATGTGACTTTGACCATGAAATAATTGTTGGTATCAGACAGGGTGGTTTGAGTACCTCAGAAACTGATGTCATGGGATTTTCACACACATCTCTAGATTTTATATAGAATGGTGTGAAAAACAAAACATTTAGTGAGTGGGCAAAAATGCCTTGTTAATGAGAAGTCAGAGGAGACTGGACAGACTGGTTCAAGCTGACAGGAAGGCAACAGTAACTCAACCAAGCATTACAATGTTGGTATGCTGAAGAGCATCTCTAATGCACAAGACATTAAACCTTGAGGCGGATGGGCTACAGCAGCAGCAGAAGACCACACTGGGTTCCACTCCTGTTAGCTAAGAACAGGAAACTAAGGCTACAGTGGGCACAGGCTCAGCTAAACTGGACAGTTGAAGATTGGAAAAAACATCACCTGGTGTGACAAATTGCTATTTCTGCTGGGACATGCAGATGGTAGCATCAGAATTTGGAGTAACTCTTTGAGATGTGGTGGAATGGGAGATTAGCAGCATGATTGTGCAGCTTACAAATCTGCCATAACTATGCAATGCTATCATGTCAATAGAGACCAGAATTTCTAAGGAATGTCTCCAGCATCTTGTTGAATCCATGCCATAAAGAATTCAGGCTATTTTGAGGGCAAATGCAGACCCTAACAAGTACTAGAAGGGTATACATAATAAATTGGCCACTGAGTGCATTTCTATGTGCAGCATTAATGAGCTATTTCTACCAAAAATGAACAATAAATTATGAGGTGTGAGAGCATTTGTATTACATGAGGTCTGTAGTACAAATATTACATAAGGGATGTAATACGAATCCTTGAGTATCATTAGACATAGTAAATACCTGATAATCATGATACTGTGAACTGGGTTGTATGATTTGTATCTGTCGCATGTTAAAATGTACACTGGTTATTAAGAAAGGCTACTAATGCTCCAGTCTGAAGTTACATATTACCCCCCCCTTCCCCCCCAAAAAAAAATCTTTCTTTCTTTCAACACACTGGCCGTATCCCACCGAGGTGGGGTGGCCCAAAAGGAAAAAAAAAAAAAGTTTTTCCTAATTGTCCCCCAATATTTCTTGACCTGCGAACCTTGCTGATTCTCCTCCTCTGTAGAAAAATCTGTGTACTTTTTTATTTATACAGTACTTTTGTATTCTAAACCATTCAGGAATGTATTGCTACTTTCTGAAGCCATAAATAATATTTACACAAAAGGTAATACAGGGCTCTGGTGGCCTGGTGGTTAACGCTCTCGCTTCACACGGTGAGGGCCTGGGTTCGATTCCCAGCCAGAGTAGAAACATTGGACGTGTTTCTTTCCACCTGTTGTCTATGTTCCCCATCAGTAAAATGGGTACTTGGGTGTTAGTCGACTGGTGTGGGTCGCATCCTGGGACACTGACCTAAGGAGGCCTGGTCACAGACCGGGCCGCGGGGGTGTTGACCCCCGGAACTCTCTCCAGGTAAACTCCAGGTACTACACCGATTTTCTGGCAATAAAACGGTCTGGCACCACTTTTTAACCCTTTGAGGGTCGACAGGCCCTCTCCGAAACTCGTTCTCAGGGTCGGCCAAATTTAAAAAAAAAAAAAAAATTATTTTCTCTTATGAAAAGATAGAGAATCTTTTCCCGATCATAAAGACACCAAAAGTTTGAAATTTGATAGAAAACTTACGGAATTATGCTCTCGCAAAGTTAGCGGTCTCGGCGATGTTTACGCATCGGCGATTTTGCCCACTTTGAGTCCCATTTTCGGCCAATTTCACTGTACTAGTCGACAAAAAACATGAATATTTCGCTAGAACTCCATTTTTTTCTATCGAATGGGTGCAAGAAACCACCCATTTATGAAATTCAACTATCCAGTACAGTGGTCAGAATTTAGCAATTTTGCCAATTTCACACAAATTTCAAAAGATGCCAATTTCCGAATAGGGTCCAGAATAAACAAGAAAGACATTCCTGGCACTAAAATGACATTTCCTCTAGTCATTAGTCACGTCTCAAGGCCCCTCTTATATTCTTTTGCTTTCCACTTTGAATTTTTATTTTCACAAAAAATATAAGATTTACTGTTATGCAGACTACTGCATTAGTGTAAAAAATGGTATAAATATTATTGGTGCACTTGTGAAAGAATATTAGACTCACCAGTTGACGTGTATTGCACGCTTGGCGCGATTTGTTTACTTTTGAAGTTTGGTAAAAATCGAACATTTCTGCTACTTTGAGCTCAATTTCAAGGCACCTTTCATTGTAAAACCAGTCAAAATCATCTCAATTTCTGTAATATGTCTTCCATTCTATAAAATGAGACCAAGAAAACTAGAATACAACAATAAATACCATACGAAAATACACTGCAAAGTCGCTGATTTATTAAAAAAAAATGGTCAAAGTTTTTTTTTTCTCATTATGCACTGTGTGCTGCAGGATTTTTTTTAGACTGTGCACACTGACCACATAGAACCATTCTTTCATATGAAGGCCTACCAGCTTTCTCCCACTAGATTTGAGGCCGCTAGAATTTATGAGTACTAGTACGTCACAAACCCCTACGCGTAAGACGTACTAGTACGACCAAAACCCTCAAAGGGTTAATATGGATAAAATTACTAGACTAGTTGTCTGCCAGACTAGTTTACTAAGCAGCCACAGATGGCACTGTGTGTGGCACATGCTCACTTATACTGTTTACAATGTTGTTAGCTGTGCTAACAATTAACTTGTTAACAGCCATAGCTACTGACAAGTTGATTGAGTTGTCAGGTGAATTAATCAAAGGGTTAGAACAACATTCTTTTGTGACAGAACAAAAGCTCATGAATTTTTATTTGATATATGAAAATTTTCACAGGGAAAGATCAAGGCATGTGAAACAACTTCACTTGGATGAAATATTTAAAAAGATAGCCAAGAAGAAAATCTTGGTTATTTTGTGGCTTCAGCTTCAAGAAACCCAGATGTCCTCCCTGTAACATCAGACATCCATGATGGAACAACTATGAAGCAGACAGCAATCCTGACAACCCTCAACATCAAGACCTAGATTGTACAGTTCCAGTAAAATTCTAAACTTTGTCACCTTGTGAATGGTAGTATTGCAACATTCTTTGTAAGTAGTTACATATTAATAAACCTGTTTCATTAATATGTAAAGGGGTAGCAGTAATGTTAAATGATCAGTTATGGAAGGAGAAAAGAGAATATGAATGTGTAAATTCAAGAATTATGTGGATTAAAGTAAAGGTTGGATGCGAGAAGTGGGTCATAATAAGCGTGTATGCACCTGGAGAAGAGAGGAATGCAGAGGAGAGAGAGAGATTTTGGGAGATGTTAAGTGAATGTATAGGAGCCTTTGAACCAAGTGAGAGAGTAATTGTGGTAGGGGACCTGAATGCTAAAGTAGGAGAAACTTTTAGAGAGGGTGTGGTAGGTAAGTTTGGGGCGCCAGGTGTAAATGATAATGGGAGCCCTTTGATTGAACTTTGTATAGAAAGGGGTTTAGTTATAGGTAATACATATTTAAGAAAAAGAGGATAAATAAGTATACACGATATGATGTAGGGCGAAATGACAGTAGTTTGTTGGATTATGTATTGGTAGATAAAAGACTGTTGAGTAGACTTCAGGATGTACATGTTTATAGAGGGGCCACAGATATATCAGATCACTTTCTAGTTGTAGCTACACTGAGAGTAAAAGGTAGATGGGATACAAGGAGAATAGAAGCATCAGGGAAGAGAGAGGTGAAGGTTTATAAACTAAAAGAGGAGGCAGTTAGGTAAGATATAAACAGCTATTGGAGGATAGATGGGCTAATGAGAGCATAGGCAATGGGGTCGAAGAGGTATGGGGTAGGTTTAAAAATGTAGTGTTAGAGTGTTCAGCAGAAGTTTGTGGTTACAGGAAAGTGGGTGCAGGAGGGAAGAGGAGTGATTGGTGGAATGATGATGTAAAGAGAGTAGTAAGGGAGAAAAAGTTAGCATATGAGAAGTTTTTACAAAGTAGAAGTGATGCAAGGAGGGAAGAGTATATGGAGAAAAGAGAGAGGTTAAGAGAGTGGTGAAGCAATGTAAAAAGAGAGCAAATGAGAGAGTGGGTGAGATGTTATCAACAAATTTTGTTGAAAATAAGAAAAAGTTTTGGAGTGAGATTAACAAGTTAAGAAAGCCTAGAGAACAAATGGATTTGTCAGTTAAAAATAGGAGAGGAGAGTTATTAAATGGAGAGTTAGAGGTATTGGGAAGATGGAGGGAATATTTTGAGGAATTGTTAAATGTTGATGAAGATAGGGAAGCTGTGATTTCGTGTATAGGGCAAGGAGGAATAACATCTTGTAGGAGTGAGGAAGAGCCAGTTGTGAGTGTGGGGGAAGTTCGTGAGGCAGTAGGTAAAATGAAAGGGGGTAAGGCAGCCGGGATTGATGGGATAAAGATAGAAATGTTAAAAGCAGGTGGGGATATAGTTTTGGAGTGGTTGGTGCAATTATTTAATAAATGTATGGAAGAGGGTAAGGTACCTAGGGATTGGCAGAGAGCATGCATAGTTCCTTTGTATAAAGGCAAAGGGGATAAAAGAGAGTGCAAAAATTATAGGGGGATAAGTCTGTTGAGTGTACCTGGTAAAGTGTATGGTAGAGTTATAACTGAAAGAATTAAGAGTAAGACGGAGAATAGGATAGCAGATGAACAAGGAGGCTTTAGGAAAGGTAGGGGGTGTGTGGACCAGGTGTTTACAGTGAAACATATAAGTGAACAGTATTTAGATAAGGCTAAAGAGGTCTTTGTGGCATTTATGGATTTGGAAAAGGCGTATGACAGGGTGGATAGGGGGGCAATGTGGCAGATGTTGCAAGTGTATGGTGTAGGAGGTAGGTTACTGAAAGCAGTGAAGAGTTTTTTACGAGGATAGTGAGGCTCAAGTTAGAGTATGTAGGAAAGAGGGAAATTTTTTCCCAGTAAAAGTAGGCCTTAGACAAGGATGTGTGATGTCACCGTGGTTGTTTAATATATTTATAGATGGGGTTGTAAGAGAAGTAAATGCGAGGGTCTTGGCAAGAGGCGTGGAGTTAAAAGATAAAGAATCACACACAAAGTGGGAGTTGTCACAGCTGCTCTTTGCTGATGACACTGTGCTCTTGGGAGATTCTGAAGAGAAGCTGCAGAGATTGGTGGATGAATTTGGTAGGGTGTGCAAAAGAAGAAAATTAAAGGTGAATACAGGAAAGAGTAAGGTTATGAGGATAACAAAAAGATTAGGTGATGAAAGATTGAATATCAGATTGGAGGAGAGAGTATGGAGGAGGTGAACGTATTCAGATATTTGGGAGTGGACGTGTCAGCGGATGGGTCTATGAAAGATGAGGTGAATCATAGAATTGATGAGGGAAAAAGAGTGAGTGGTGCACTTAGGAGTCTGTGGAGACAAAGAACTTTGTCCTTGGAGGCAAAGAGGGGAATGTATGAGAGTATAGTTTTACCAACGCTCTTATATGGGTGTGAAGCGTGGGTGATGAATGTTGCAGCGAGGAGAAGGCTGGAGGCAGTGGAGATGTCATGTCTGAGGGCAATGTGTGGTGTGAATATAATGCAGAGAATTCGTAGTTTGGAAGTTAGGAGGAGGTGCGGGATTACCAAAACTGTTGTCCAGAGGACTGAGGAAGGGTTGTTGAGGTGGTTCGGACATGTAGAGAGAATGGAGCGAAACAGAATGACTTCAAGAGTGTATCAGTCTGTAGTGGAAGGAAGGCGGGGTAGGGTTGGCCTAGGAAGGGTTGGAGGGAGGGGGTAAAGGAGGTTTTGTGTGCGAGGGGCTTGGACTTCCAGCAGGCATGCGTGAGCGTGTTTGATAGGAGTGAATGGAGACAAATGGTTTTTAATACTTGACGTGCTGTTGGAGTGTGAGCAAAGTAACATTTATGAAGGGATTCAGGGAAACCGGCAGGCCGGACTTGAGTCCTGGAGATGGGAAGTACAGTGCCTGCACTCTGAAGGAGGGGTGTTAATGTTGCAGTTTAAAAACTGTAGTGTAAAGCACCCTTCTGGCAAGACAGTGATGGAGCGAATGATGGTGAAAGTTTTTCTTTTTCGGGCCACCCTGCCTTGGTGGGAATCGGCCAGTGTGATAATAAAAAAATAAACCTGTTTCATTTATACTAATGTTTAATTAAAGTTTCCAGTAGTCCATGGTGAGTCAGTGGTATCTTGTTGAATTATGTGACCTCTGTTGGTCTGACAAAGTCAATATTCCAGCAAGGCCTAAGAACCAAGCATACATGAAAATTGCTGTTGTACCTGAACTAATTCCCCCAATTTATGTTCAATGAATTACCGGATTTCGCGGCTTATTAGACACATTTGTTTTTCCATAAAATGTCTCCAAAAACCACCCTGCATCCTATAAACTGAAGGTCAGTGACCGGAGCTATAAGTTTGGGGTGTGGGGTGGGCTGTAGCTCTCCCTGTTATGTTCGATGCCGAGCCATTGAAACTAAAACAAGTCTTATAAGCCACGAAAAATATGATACTGATTCATTGTAGAGTACAAAAACAAAGTACCTTCTTTACAATTCACAAGCAAAGGATGTTCTTTTGTGTTTTTGGGTGGTGTAAAAGAAAAATTATAGTATACAACACAATTGCAGAAGGATATTTATTGAGGTGTTTTACCTGTAAACAGGATGCTTCGGTCAATACACAGGAATGTACAAGCAGTAAATTTATAAAAGCATAGTCAGGTGAGTGGTCAGGTCAGTGAAGTCACTATGTGAACTGCAAGATGGGAGTGCTGCAGGTGGTCTACCAGTTCTTCCAATGACCTGTTTACGTTATATGAATTGTGCTACAGATTTGGCTAAACTGACAGTTCCTTGATTCTCTTGGACTGTGTTTTATGTTTGGATTAGTGCAGTTTTCAGGCAGCTGCATTGTGTCTGTCCCTTTTTTTCATGACCAGCTGGGCATCCTTCCATGACACCAGGTGTGCAATTTGGTCCCTAATGTATCACCTGCCCACCTAATATTTTTGAAGGATGCCTAGCTGGTTTTAAACAGATCAACATGATGCCTGGAAGCTGCACTAATCCAAACACAAAATACTATCCAACAAAATCAAATATTTTTCTTTTAGTCAAACCTGCACTACAACTTGTCTTAAATAGGTCATTGGAAGGACCAGTCTCTTGCAGTGCTTCCCATCTTGCAATTTAATTCAATGTTTGTAAAAATTTGCATGTTGTACATTCCTGTGTACTGACTGAAGCTGCTCATCCACAGGAAAAATATCTCAATTATGTTCCCTTCTGCAACTGTGTTCTTTTAATCACTTGTCAGCTCTGTGCCATTTGTCTCCAAAGATGTACTATACCTTTGGTGAAGTATCTCCAATAGATGGTTCTCTCTTGCGTACTCGTGGTGGTAAAGGGGGTGGCAAAGCTTGCGGAGATGCAGGTGGTGGTGGTGGGGCTTGAGGTGGCAGGAAATTGCTAGGAAACCCACTTATGATTCCTCGGAATTCATTTGCACCTGTTAACACATCTGAATAAAAGATTATTCCTGAGCATTATATTCTGTGGTGCCCAAAACAACAAATTCACTGAATATGCACATTAATAATTAATCTATGCCAAATTCACTTAGCATGAAACCAAATCTACTGAATTTAATCAAAATAATAAAAATTTCTCCATATATACAATATAAAGTACAGATGGGCAGAAGCTTTGACCTTGTTAAAAAACTAGTTAATTCTTTATACAGTAGTGCATAATATATAAAGATACAATATAAAGTGAGCTGAAATAATTACAATATCAGGGCCCCAACTATATATATATATATACCGTGCTATCACACATCCCACCGAACTGCCAATATCCCAAACCCCTCCTTTAAAGTGCAGGCATTGTGCTTCCCATTTCCAGTACTCAAGTCTGGCTATATAAAATAACCGGTTTCCCTGAATCCCTTCACTAAGTATTACCCTGCTTACACTCCAACAGCTCGTCAGGTCTCAAAAACCATTCGTTTCCATTCACTCCTATCTAACACGCTCATACACGCTTGCTGGAAGTCCAAGCCCCTCTCCCACAAAACCTCCTTTACCCCCTCCCTCCAACCTTTTCGAGGACGACCCCTACCCCACCTTTGTTCCCCTACAGATTTATACTCCCTCCATGTCATTCTACTTCGATCCATTCTCTCTAAATGACCAGACCACCTCAACAACCCCTCTTCAGCCCTCTGACTAATACGTACTTTTATTAACTTCACACGCTCTCCTAATCTCCAAACTTCGAATTCTCTGCCCTTAGACAGGACATCTCCACTACCTCCAACTACCTCCTCACTGCAGCATTGACAACCCAAGCTTCACACCCATATAAGAGTGTTGGTACCACTATACTTTCATACATTCCCTTCTTTGCCTCCATTAATAATGTTTTTTTTTCTCCACATATACCTCAATGCACCATTCACCTTATTTCCCTCATCAATTCTATGGTTAACCTCATCCTTCATAAACCCATCTGCTGACACATCAACTCCCAAATACCTGAAAACTTTCACTTCTTCCATACTCCTTCTCTCCAATGTGATATCCAATTTTTCTTTATCTGAATCATTTGATGCCCTCATCACCTTACTCTTTTCTATGTTCACTTTCAACTTTCTACCTTTACATACCCTTTTATCCAGGCTATATTGGCATTGTTCTAAGGCAAACACACAAGAATAATTTACAAAAAGTAAGTGCAAATGTTCCTAGGTAGTAGGTTGGTAGACAGCAGCCGCCCAGGGAGGTACTACCGTCCTGCCAAGTGAGTGTAAAACGAAAGCCTGTAATTGTTTTACATGATGGTAGGATTGCTGGTGTCCTTTTTTCTGTCTCATGAACATGCAAGATTTCAAGTACATCTTGCTACTTCTACTTACACTTAGGTCACACTACACATACATGTACAAGCATATATATACACACCCCTCTGGGTTTTCTTCTATTTTCTTTCTAGTTCTTATTCTTGTTTATTTCCTCTTATCTCCATGGGGAAGTGGAACAGAATTCTTCCTCCGTAAGCCATGCGTGTTGTAAGAGGCGATTAAAATGCCGGGAGCAAGGGGCTAGTAACCTCTTCTCCTGTATATATTACTAAATGTAAAAGGAGAAGAACTTTCGTTTTTCCTTTTGGGCCACCCCACCTCGATGGGATACGGTTGGTGTGTTGAAAGAAAGAAGTGCAAATGTTCCTAGGTAGTAGGTTGGTAGACAGCAACCACTCAGGGAGGTACTACTGTCCTGCCAAGTGAGTGTAAAATGAAAGCCTGTAATTGTTTTACATGATGGTAGGATTGCTGGTGTCCATTTTTCTGTCTCACAAACATGCATGGTTTCAGGTATGTCTTGCTACTTCTACTTACACTTAAATCACACTACACATACATGTATGTACAAGCATATATATACACCCCTCTGGGTTTTCTTCTATTTTCTTTCTTGTTCTTATTCTTGTTTATTTCCTCTTATCTCCATGGGGAAGTGGAACAGAATTCTTCCTCCGTAAGCTGTGTGTGTTGTAAGAGGCGACTAAAATGCCAGGAGCAAGGGGCTAGTAACCCCTTCTTCTGTATAAATTACTAAATTTAAAAAGAGAAACTTTCATTTTTTTTAGGGGGGGGGGGGCACCCTGCCTCGGTGGGATACGGCCGGTTTGTTGAAAGAAAGAAGTGCAAATGTTCCTAGGTAGTAGGTTAGTAGACAAACTGCCCAGGGAGGTATGTACTACCGTCCTGCCAAGTGAGTGTAAAACGAAAGCCTTTAATTGTTTTACATGATGGTAGGATTGCTGGTGTCCTTTTTTCTGTCTCATAAACATGCAAGATTTCAGGTACGTCTTGCTACTTTTACTTACACTTAGGTCACACTACACATACATGTACAAGCATGTATATATGCACCCCTCTGGGTTTTGTGCTATTTTCTTTCTAGTTCTTGTTCTTGTTTATTTCCTCTTATCTCCATGGGGAAGTGGAACAGAATTCTTCCTCCGTAAGCCATGCGTGTTGTAAGAGGCGACTAAAATGCCGGGAGCAAGGGGCTAGTAACCCCTTCTGTATAAATTACTAAATTTAAAAAGAGAAATTTTCTTTTTTCTTTTTGGGCCACCCTGCCTTGGTGGGATATGGCCAGTTTGTTTAAAAAAAAAAGAAAGTGCAAATGTTGTTGAGATACATGGTTATTCATAAAATCCTCCACCAAATCAAATTAAAATAAGGTTTGTTTAGAAAAATACTACGATGTTTATAAGGTTAAAAATTTATATGCAGTATACTGTAAACAGAAACGTGCCCAATTTTAATTACCTAAAACTTTTAGTCAGCATCTAAAAAGTTGTAAAAACCTGGTATACTACAAACCTAGGAAAACTAATTGTAGCAAAAGACATTCAAAACCTGCAGTTTAACATTTGGTATAAGGTGTTCAGTTTTGAAAATAGACACTAAGAGGGCTACCTGATCCATTTTCAACAGAATAATACAGTGGAACCCCGGATTTCATCCGGTGCGGATATTGTACAATACGGATTTCGACCACTTTTTGGGGCAAAATTTTACCCCGGGTTTCGTACTTCCGCTCAGAAATCGCCCATATCAGATGCATCCGCCTGCCCGGGACGTGGCCGCTCACACGTACATGACTCAGTCTGCCTCTATCACTTGTTGTTCAGTGAGCACTACTCCGCAAAGTTTTGTGGAGAAATATCACTACCACCCTCTACAAAGGTAGAGGGTGGTAGTGATTGTGGTAGAGGGTGGTAGTGATGGTAGAAGAGGGTGGTAGCGGTGGTGGTAGAGGGTGGTAGTGATGGCAAACAATCGAAGATGTTGTTGGTGTGGATCAACGGAAAACAGTTAGTGGGAGACAGTGTTATGGAGGCGATAATTTGCAAAAAGGCAAGGCAGTTGCATGCGGATCTCATAAAGAATATGCCAGCAAGAGTCTTCAATAAAGGTAAAAGTGATATAAATGTTCATTTATCCATTAAAATTAAAGCTTTATATTTATTTCTCATTGTTTTCTGTGTGTATGTTATTCTCTATAAAATGTATTTGTTAATATTTTTGGGTGTCTGGAATGGATTAATTGGATTTACATTATTTCTTATGGGAAATATTACTTTGGTTTTCATCCATTTTGGATTTCGACCGGCCTTCTGGCACAGATTAACCCTTTGACTGTTTCAGTCATATATATACGTCTTACGAGCCACCGTGTTTGACATACATGTATATACGTGTATACTCATAAATTCTAGCGGCTTCAAATCAAGCAGGAGAAAGCTGGTAGGCCCACATGTGAGAGAATGGGTCTGTGTGGTCAGTGTGCACCATATAAAAAAAATCCTGCAGCAAGCAGTGCATGAGAAAAAAAAAACTCAGACCGTTTTCTTGGTCTCATTTGATAGAATAGGAAACATATTATAGAAATAGAGGTGATTTTGATTGGTTTTACTATGAAAAGAACCTTGAAATGGAACTCAAAATAGGGGAAATGTTTGATTTTTGCTGATGTTCAAAAGTAAACAAATGATGTCATTGTCCAATAAATGTCCAACTAGCCATTCTAATATGCAATCATGAATGGGTTGACATTATTTTTACAATTATTACAATATTGCAGTAGTCTGCATAACAGTAAATCTTCTGTTTTTGTTTCAATAAAAATTCAAAATATAAAGCAATAGTAATATCAGAGGGGCCTGGAGACGTGACTGATGAACAAAGAAAATGTTATTTTAGAGCAAGGAATGTCTGCATTGTTCATTTTGGACCTTATTTTGCAATTAGCATATTTTTTTATTTGCATGAAATTGGCCAAATTGCAAATTTCTGACCACGTTATTGGGTAGTTGAAATCGGTAAATGGGCAGTTTCTTGTACTCAATCGGTAAAATAAATGAGTTCTAAAGAAATAGCTATGATTCTGGTCGACTGGAACAATGGAATTAGCCAAAAATAGGGCTCAAAGTGGGCGAAATCGCTGATTCACAAATATAGCCGAGGTCGCTAACTTCACAAGAGCATAATTCTGTAAGTTTTCCATCAAATTTCGTTCTTTTGGTGTCGTTACCATCGGGAAGAGATTCTTGCTTTGAAAAAATTTTCGACTCCAGAAGACACCTCAGGATTTGGGGTTTCGACAGTCAAGGGGATAAGGACGAAAATTGGGGTTTCACTGTATAGGTTTCTTTTGTGAAAATCTGTAGTGCTCAATGGCCCATATGGGTTTTGTAGTTCTTTTGTGGATATAATAATAATGTTATGTTTGTAAGTACAGGATTATGTTTCAAGTCAATGTGAAGAGGTGTTTGAGATATACAGAAATGAAATAGCTGAAAAAACTTGGCAAACCCATATAGTATTCATAGTCAGAATACCTATAAATAAAAAAAAAAAAAGGCACAATACCATGACTGGAACGATACACAAATAACCCGCACATAGAAGAGAGCTTACAATGACGTTTCGGTCTGACTTGGGCCATTTACAAAGTCCAAGTCAGACCGAAACGTTGTTGTAAGCTCCTCTCTTCTACGTGCGGGTTATTTGTGTATAGAATACCCATCAAAAATAAATTCATTTGCACATATCTGTGATGAATATATAGCATTTATCTACTGTATTGTTCTACAATGATCCAAAGTACAGTACTCTGGATCATCATAGTAGTCAAATGACTATCTATACTCATGAACTGTATTGTTTATTTTAGACAATTCTATACCATGAGAATGCACAATCCATTCTAATGAATGCAGCAGAAAATATAAAGGAGCACATGAATTTAGGGCCAAGACACTTACTGCCTGTGCCAATCTCTACTGGTGCAAAGATGGCATTGTCAACAGCTGTGTGAGGTGGATGTGATTGTGGTGGAGGTGGAGTGCAAGGAGTGGTGGGGGTTGGAGGTGTCAATAAGTGTGGTGTGTCATCTCCATCAGCCCCCTCCACAAGCTTTGGCCCTCTCTCAGACTGCTGGAATATTGCTGGCAGAGGGTTAGGCACCATTCCCTTATTACGGGGCTTGATGCCTGGGGACTTGAGGTAATTATTAGGCCACTTGCGATCCTGAAACACAGGCAGACTGTCATATTTCAACAATACTATTCAGTAACAATATACATACATATAACAATGAATATGAGTTAAGATAATAGCAAAAATTAAGTGAAAACTTGGGTAGTTTTAAAAATAGGTTGGATAAGTACACAGGAAGGAAGGGGGGAGGGAGAGGGAGAGAGAGAGAGACCTGCCTAGCATGGGCCAGCAGGGATGCTGCAATGCTCCACTATTCTTATGTATACACAATATTATATATAATTTCCACGTCTTCTATATGGTACCCATACAGGTAGAGGCATTTATACAGTATTATAAATGCAAATACTCCAAGAATATTTAGTTGTGTGCAAAGAACAAAGTGCATGAATTTGTGCTTGTTTGAAATCCAGATATTAATCAGCAGTAAAATTTTACCAGAAGCAATGCTTTATATGAAAACCTCAGAGGTACATATTTCTAAAAATTCAAAGGAGTGACAGGATTTTAACCTTTCTTCTGTAAATCCTAAGACTGTCAATCCAATGCTCAGCCAATATACCACACAATGATGAATAAAACACAGGGGCAACATCTAGGTATCTTTATCGAGAGAAGTTTTGCCCACCAGGGTCTTTATCAGTCTAATCCAGTCATAGTTATACAGCCTTTTATAGTGAAGTCAGAGGAAGAGATGAGCAATGCAGCAGCTGTAAATGCAGTCACACTGGAAGTAGGTCAGGATTAGTAAAGCTGTAGAAGAAATCTCTGTATTAAGATTCCTTGGTGCTGCTGAATCAGACATGTATATCATAGGTGAATAAGACATGCACAACACCTGGTTATCTTTACTGAAGACACATTTTGCCTGTGCAGAAGGCCTTTTGCAATCTACTAGGCATGAGGATGAAAAGATACTAGAGCCAGTGAAAAAAAGCAGCGAGGTGTAGCAGTTGAAGACACATCCACTAGTGGAAGTAATGGCCCATAGGGTGGGCAAGATCTCAATGAGTTGTAGAAAATATTCTCGGCACAAAGATTCCAGTGAATCTAATAGAGGCTTGAGGATGGAGACCTTTACAATGAAACATGTGATGATGTCTTCAACTGCTGCACCTCACACCACTTTTGTCACTGACTTTGACATAAATGTCTCTACCTCCACGATTTCAAAGAGCTGCTGTACAGTGAAATGTCTCTTCAATAAAGATACTCATCTGTCTTTTTCATCAACTTATCAGTACCGCATACCTTTGACTAATGATACCCATTTGATATAGGAGCACTAAAGAATCTTGATACAAAGGATGCTTTTTAGTACTTCCTCTTGTATTTGTACCTTTATTTTACAAGTCTTAAATTGGAAAATCTTATTAGATGGTTGTGTGAATTCCTATGTTGGACACATTCATTGTTCCTATTATCTAGCTAGGCTGCATAAATATGTTTGTTGATGTGTTTCTAATGGTTCTTTCCCCTTCCCAATAGCTCTTGTAGCACCCACAGCATAGAATTCTGTAGACATCAGCTTCTTTAGTGAAATGGATGTTGTTTTCCTTCTTGTGAGGCCACAGATTGCAGAAGAGGTGACAGCTATTTTGTGTTGACTATTCAAAATCTTCGCATTTAAAACAATCTGGTGACTCGACCTTTCATCGCCAGTACATCAGAATGAAAAGTGAAGAAACTTGCTTCACCAAGGTACCTACCAAAAGAGGCCATTATGTCCTACAACAGATGAATTATTGAAAATGTTTATTAATTTTAACAGCTTCACATATTTTGGCACTTGCTACAAACAGTCCTTCAGCATAGTCATGGGCTCATTGCTAAGTGTTGTACTCATGCACATTTACACAGAACCCCTGGAAACTTATCAACTTCCCAACCTAATTCAAACAAAGATGTCGTGGATGAAGTATGTCGAGTTTTTTTGTTAATTCCCCATGCACAACTCGACCTCCATCATTATTATTATAATCAAAAAGAAGCGCTAAGCCACAAGGGCTATACAGCAGTCTACCTCCATCAGTTACATGACAATCTCAGATGAACCATCAATTTAGTTCACTCTAGAAACTGAAGGGAATAATACAATGGATACTCTAAGTAGAAACAATTACTCCTGCTCATTTCAGGTATACCACAATGTTGCGAATAAGAATTTTTTTTAAAGAACTTCAGAACGTGGCCCGTTACCATTCATTTATTTCTTATGCAACAAGATTTTTGGATCCGAGTTATTTAAAGTTTTAGAGTCTAGGGGAAATAATTTCAACTGGGAAACTCCATAGAATAATATTCAAATTCATTAAAGTATTTAAATACAATACTTTATATTCTCTTTGTAGTTAATGTATCTTAATACTCTGTACAATAAATTTACCATATACATTTAGTTCAAAATCATGGAAATGTCACATTAATAAGGAAGTTTAATTATTCTTCCTGTAATTCAGTCTTCAATAACATTTACGTCTTTGTCTTAACAAGACTGTAAACTCAAAATACAAAAGGTACAAGATTTAACAAGACCTTTGAATCTGGCCGTAAAGTATCTCTATGGATTACTGAACTGACCAAGAATATAAATATCAAAAGAGTCTTTCAAAGTAATGAGGAACAAAGTGAGTCAGCTCTAGAGTCCAATTCTCAAAACCATTCAAACTGTACACCGTAAGAACCAATATACGATCAGTTGTCAGGGCTAGAGCAGGGAGCAGACTGACTACTTGCCAGTCTGTTGATGCGTCGTCAGGTTGGATCACCTGACCCAACGTCAGTCAGCCGGACATAAACAATTGAACAATTCACCGGATGGTTCTGAGACTTAAACTCTACTCTATATACACAAGAAATCCTACCTAACAATAATAATAAAATAACAGTGATAATAACAAAATAGTGATAATGACGATAATACCAGATAATAACAGATAATAATATAACGCCGAAAGTCTCTATTTTAGCTATAAACGGGGACTTTCGCGCTATAATATTAAGTGATGAACATATTCGCTTACAATAGTTAAATAACACAGGATGACCAATTTCGAAGATATAACAACAAGCCTACTTATAAAAACTACTACATCCATTTTTGCTACATGACAGTACAGAGAGAGGTGCATTGATCTGGTTTTTCATACGCAAATTCAAGCTCATAGCCCGTGTTTCCTCAGGGTGCAAAGCCATCAAGAATATTTTGAGAGAATTACCTTGTTCAAAATTCATTACAAGTTGCAGAAAACTTGCCATAAAAATCTTACGAACACCCAAAACAGAAAAGTAGACCGATAAATAATTCTCCCTAAGTGTAATGTTGCCTTTAATATCAGGAAGATTATGGACAGAGTCAATAGCAAAGTAGCTGTCGCAAACTCTTTTCCAATCAGTGACTCACAAGACCTATAGGCGTCTCATAGCTCGATTGCTAGCGCACTTATCTCACACACTAAGGTCTGGGGGGTCGATACCCAGTACGGGTGGAAACAGTAAGACTTGTTCTCTTAAGACACCTGTCCATGTTCACCTATCAGTACAGTAGGCACCTGCGTGTTAGTTGAGTGGCATGGGTCACATCCTGGGGAAAACTGACCTAATTTGCCCGAAATGCTCTGCATAACAAGGGGCTTTCTATATAGTAGTATGTCATTGAAGTCAGCAAGGCCTGTACACCTTGTGCATGTAGTTGTAGAAATAAATATTATTATTATTATTATTATTATTATTATTATTATTATTATTATTATACCCACCGCAGAAACTGAAGTCTACGAAATTCTATGCAATGGTTGCCACCAGATTTAAATGCTTCAGCAAACAGAAGTATGCAGCCCAAACTCATAATAGGAACAATGACATATAATTAGATTTTCCTATTCAAAACTCATAATAAAAGGAAAAAAAAGTGTAAGAAAATGCTACGGAACAGCTTTCCTTATGAGAGTCGAACACAATCACCCAGAACCAAAGCTGCTTTCAATTAGTAAAACCTTTATCTATAAAGATACTGAACACAGTATAATGCCGAGAACTACCAACCAGAACCACTACTATTACAGTATTATATTAAGAGTATACAAAAACAAGTAGATGAATAAGACACGTGCAACACGAAGTATCTTTCATCGTCTCTAGTATTTTTTTTTTTCTGTTAGCGAAACGTCTCTACGGTCAAGATACCCAAGTGTTGCACATGTGTCTTATACACTGGCTGTACAACGCATATAATACCGAGAGCATGTAGATAAAGATGCTTACGCACATTTCAAGACATTTCTTGAGGAAATGTTTTACCATGAGTGGTTTTTGAGTCCTAATAAAGAAGTCACTCACGGAGAGACGTTTCCACGGTTTCCCCAATGCCTTGAACTGTGCATAACTAGATGAGTAAGACACACATGCAACAGTTAGCAGTCATTATTGTTGAAACATTTCACCTACACGATAGGCTTCTTCAGTCAAATACAGAGAATGAATTCGAGACAGAAGTGGTAGTGACGAGGTAAAGATGTGAATCAATTCATTATCTACTTGTCGGTATTGTTACTATCTTTATAATATACCCTTGCACACTGCTCAACATATCAACATGTCTTAATACATAGTGTGGGTCAGTAAGCCTACTGTGGAAAAAGACACTTATGTACAGCTCAGGACCTTGATTAATGGAAACATTTCGCCACTCGTTGCTTATGACTAAAACCTTCACTCATGAAGAAACGTTTCCTTTCTGTCCTCAACTGTACACAAGCGTCTTTTTCACATCTTGTAGGTATCACTATACTATTTATAGTGCTTCTCTAATATTAGCTTATTCTGCACATATGCCTCTCCCGTCTACAAACTGTGTTACCAACAAGAGTGAGTTATCAGGCTTCATAAAGTTTGCTGTACAGGCGAAAAGTAATCTTAATAAAGTTTCCAACTGCTGCTTTTAGTCTTTATTAACTAAACCTTGGCAGTGTTCCCATACTTATACAAACATGCAGTCCATGTTTATATATGCATGTATGTCTCTACACTTG